CTCAAGAATAGAATGACATATCATATGTCAACTTTTCACATTCTCACCTTAAAAAATATTTTAAATTTCAATTCAGAGTACTATGGCTGTGTTAAAACACTAATTTTTAACCAAGGAGCCTTGGAAAAATAGATTTGATCGTCTAATGTTTTTAGTGTCCTGTCCAGGCCGGTTAAAAGATGCCCCAATCGTATTTTTAATTATATCTCAATTTTTCAAATGGAACGAGGGTGACTCACTAGTATATTTGGAAAAAGCATTTTTTACGAACAATTTGGAACCATACACTTGGTATTTCGAGTCAAATTGTCGTTATGAACCGCATGTTACAATTTCATATGCAAAAATGTCAATAGTTGACACATCAGGATGTCATTCTATTTAGAATGTGAGATTGGATTAAAAATGGATGACTTTCATTTTCAAATATTAATTATTAATTATATATATTATTATTAATTTGGTATAGAACACAAAATAACATTTTTTTCATAACATTCCCTTTTATAAGAAACATATTTTTCCAAATCAGCCTTTATTCAAATAATCTAAGTTAATTTTAACGTGTGTCTGGATAGTTCACCGAAACCTTTTTACACTAATTTTTTAATATTCAAACTCCCTTATTTCAAATGGAACACCCTGTATTTTATATCAGAAATTTCCACAGTTTTTATCCAGTCTTGTTTTTGTTAAGCACTTTATACATATATTAAAAATCGTCAAGTATACTGACTAATTTTATTTTTCTATGAAATCTAAAAACTTAAAATTTAAAAAACTCTTTTAAAATTGGAAATTAGTCGAAAATGTCTAAATTAATTTAATACCTATAAAAATTAGTTGTCAAAGATTGCAATTAAATATATATTTGTTTTATCAGAAAGCTTCAGACTCAGACTGTTTCTCTTTTAATGAGCATTTTATATTCTAATCCAATACCTCGTTCGGACGGTGTAATATTATGGAATAAGTGACATTGAAACTTAAGTAATTTATAGTTGTTAAGCATTTTCATACTAAAACAAACAATTCGTTGTTAATTTACGTACGGACCCACATCGACGATATTTCTTTTACTAGTTTGTAGTTAATTTAGTCTGATTTTGCCCGCCACGTAAAAAACACTCTCCTCTATCCTAGTGATGTTTGAAAAATATTATTTATTTTAATATACAGGGTGTTTCAAAAAACATGTGCCATCTGTCGTGAGGAGATTCGTCACGTAAAAATAAGATATATTTGTCCTACCAACATAGGTCCGATTCTGCTTTGTTTCGTAGCTACATGGTATTTTAGTATTTTTTTGATTTATTATAATTTTCTTCCAAGTACTTTCTTGATGGTACTTTGAAATTTTGATGGTAAAAGTAACTATAAATGAGACATATTTTAAAGCTAAAAAATTATCGACATATTCACCAGGGACGTGCATATGGGTTATCAGTGGAATATTTTTCTAAAAAAGGCAAAATAGTTTAAGCAGTTTAATGCCGATTAAAAGTATATTATATTTCGTCGATTTCAGCCTGATGAGATAAAGGCAGTTTTATTAATTTGCCTTGATCAAAGTCTAATAGCAACCTTTAAAAAAATTTAATATCATTAATAACTTGCGAAAGTTTTAAATAAGTACTCATTGGTTCATCAAAAAATATGAAAAAAAGAAACGTCCTATAAACATGGGTATGGAAATACATAGTTTTAGAGTTACAGGACGTTAAAACTTCTTAAAAATAGATTTTTTGTAATTATCTTAAATACCATTATTTTTTTATTTGAAATTGCTGTATGCGGAACTAATAGTAATAATATTTAATAAAAATTAGATAAAATATATAATTCATTAATTTTAATTTTATTAATTGTGATTAATAAAATTGCGTTTATCTCATCAAGGAGGCCAAATTGTACAAAATATCAAGAGATGTCTTTTAATTGGCATTAAACGGCCTACACAATTTTGATATCAAAAGAAAAAAGTCAGTGGCGCACGTTTTTTTTAAATATTCCAGTGATAACCCCTGATGAATTTATTGACACTTTTTCAGCGTAGGTTTTAGCGGTTTGTTACTTAGAGATGAAAATGTAGAGAATTTAATTCTCTTCATTTTTTGTTCCATAAAATTTCCTGTGGGACCTAAGTTTCGGCCAGAAAATCGAATCCAATTTTTTTTTGAGTTTCTTAAAAACGGTGAGGTGGAGGGATACGAATTTTCCAATTTCGGATTTTTTTTCCAGTGGACCACTTACGACTGGCAAAGTATGAGGGCGGGGGTAATTTGATAGGAGTCTAGACCTTTTTTGATGCCAGATGGACTGTACTCTTTGAATAAGAAGACTAAGGAAGGAGCATAATGCTATCCATGTATTCATGCATGGTGGGCGGAAAAAGGACTCTAGGGTGGGGATCCTTGACAGTTCTGTTTGACAAGACGATTCATTTGAGACATTTGAATTTGATTTGAAATTTTGTGGATTTGTCAGTTTTTACGGAGCTTATTTTATGTTATTTATTATTTATTCTACTACTGATAGTTGTATAAAGGTAGTAAATCTAGATGGAAATTGTGGCAGAACTTAAATTAACAGTGACACTATGGCGATTTATCGAAAAAGACTCTAAAATAGTTGGTTGTGTAGTGTGCGGTAGATCTCGGCAAAAATCGAGTGAAATAATGGAACAACTTTTCGCTAGTAAGTGACTATATAATAAACATACGTGTAGTAAACCGATCATTTATGAAATTCACTTAAATTAACTAATTATATATTTTTTCTTGCATTTTTGCTTTTATTTACTACTTGTCAAAGATTAGATGTCAAAGAATTTAGATACGTCAATTTGACTTACCTGCTTTAGTAGCGTATCGGATGTTTATGGTTATAAATAATGATTATAACTTATCTATTTTTATTAGAATTTTATATTTTTATAACAATTTTAATAACTACCAACATTTATTCACAACGTAAAATAAAAAAAAAATTATTGAGTCTACCCCACGTTTACCCTACATCATAGTTTTACATTTTTTAAATAAAATTAGAACGGCACTGATAAACCGGAATTTAAGTCGGCCATATTTGGGGCTCATCGCGGTGGACCTAAGATTTTTGATATGCTCCTTCCTTAGTCTTCTTATTCAAAGACTGTACTAGAACGCGGGACTGAAATGAAATAAGTCATTGTGTGTCCGTAGCCTAGATCATATTATATACTTACGTGGATAAGTAAATCACTACGGAAACTGTCGCAAACATATCAACGACTTCCATTTAACTTCTTTTTTTTTGTTGCACACGCGGTGCTTCTACTCTATCTATCCTTGTCGAGGACCTTTCGTCCACGCGCCAAATTTGAACATTAATTTTAAAAATTTAATTTGTAAAATGCATATACTTATTTGATCAATAAATTGAATGTTTACTGTCGCAAAACTTAAAAAAATATAAAAAATACATTTAGCCACACTCCGTACGAATATCAATATTCTTAGGAAATCTAACCAGAAAGTATGCATGTGGTTTGATATAAATAAAAGAGCAACTGAATACTTCACTTGCCTATGAAAAGATAATTCGGGGACCTTTATATTAGAACTTCCACACAACACACTTGCATCCTTGGCTATATAAAAGCGGTCGATAAAAGAGTAATTAATACAACTTTTAAAATAAAAAACGCAAAAAACAAGCGTCGTTACACAATGGAAATAAGATGATAACATATGATTATGACAATATGATGACAATGAAAAGTTGATTTCCGCAACAATGTAGAATTTCTACTTTTTAAACCGTATAAAATTGTGATTCTTTTGGAAATACGTGCAACTTTTAAAGCGCATGCGTAAATTAAGGTCCTCGGAAAAGACAAACCTATAGAGAGTTTCATAAGTGCAATAAAGGTTTGAAAATGGCATGTCCTGATGTTGGAGACATATTTTTTAATGCTAAACTTATGGCGTTGATTTATCCACGTACGTATATACGTATGATCCTTTGAATAAGAAGACTAAGGAAGGAGCATAATGCTATCCATGTATTCATGCATGGTGGGCGGAAAAAGCGCCATAAAAGCACTCTAGGGTGGGGATCCTTGACAGTTCTGTTTGACGATTCATTTGACACATTTGAATTTGATTTGAAATTTTGTGGATTTGTCAGTCTTTATGGAGCTTATTTTATGTTATTTATTATTTATTCTACTACTGATAGTTGTATAAAGGTAGTAAATCTAGATGGAAATTGTGGCAGCACTTAAATTAACAGTGACACTATCGCGATTTATCGAAAAAGACTCTAAAATAGTTGGTTGTGTAGCGTGCGGTAGATCTCGGCAAAAATTGAGTGAAATAATGGAACAACTTTTCGCTAGTAAGTGACTATATAATATACATATGTGCAGTAAACCGATCATTTATGAAATTCACTTAAATTAACTAAATTATATATTTTTCTTGCATTTTAGCTTTTATTTATTACTTGTCAAAGATTAGATGTCAAAGAATTTAGATACGTTAATTTGACTTACCTGCTTCAGTAGCGTATCGGATGTTTGTGTTAATAAATACTTATTATAACTTATCTATTTTTTATTAGAATTATATATTTTTATAACAATTTTAATAACTACCAACATTTATTCACAACGTAAAATAAAACAACAAATTATTGAGTCTACCCCACGTCTACCCTACATCATAGTTTTACATTTTTTAAATAAAATTAGAACGACACTGATAAACCGGAATTTAAGTCGGCCATATTTGAGGCCCATCGCGGTGTACCTAAGATTTTTGATATGCTCCTTCCTTAGTCTACTTATTCAAAGGTATGATCTAGGGTCCGTAGGTCCCCTAACATTTTTCATTTTTATAAGTTTATACTTACCCTAACATTTTTCATTTTTATAAGTTTATACTTACAGTAATTATCACCGAACTGTTGTTACATAAATAAAAAAATAGTCCAAACCATTAATAAATGACGCAATTACTTTGCAAACAAATTTAATTATATAGAGAAATATCATGATCTTGTAACTCCTTATAAACAAATATGAAATATAAAAAATACATATACGTAAAATATTTTCTTATTAACTTTGATGCTTATTTAAATTTTAAACCAATATTTGTTTATATACCTAGATAAATGCATACATGTAAGTAAATAAGTATGTCCTGTGTAATTATAAGTAATTTTTGTACACTACAGCAAATATTACATAAAAAATATCTTACAAAAAATGGATTTATAAAAAAAACTATACAAATATCAAATACAATTTTCTACTCGGCGTCTTAAAGTTCTTTATGCTTGGCATGAGTTGCCAGGTGTTTGTTCAATACTCTGACTCGATAAAAAGTTTTACCACATATTTCACAAGCGTAGTTTTTCTCCCCGGTATGGATTTTCATATGAGCATACAGGTTAGTCTGTTGGGCAAACATTTTTCCACAAAAATTGCAGACGAATTGTTTATCTCCGGTATGGACACGCATGTGCTGCTCTAGATTACGCTTATTCACACATATGTGAAAACACTCTTTGCATTGATATTTTGTATCGCCTAAAAAAATACTTATTCATGTACAATTCCTAATTTTATACACAAACGGAAATATATTTTTATAAGCCGCTACCACTTTTTTAAAATTGGATTTTGTCGAAAAAAAAACGACTCAAGTTGGCCTGGAAATGACGACTTTCATCTTATTAATTTTACATATAAAATGATACCGATCCTCATTTCCAAGCCAACGGCATAATAGGTTTAGTAAAATAAGCCCAAAACTTACCAGTATGAATTCGCCGATGCTGAACTAAAGAGTTTTTATATGTAAATGTTTTTTCACATAGTTCGCAGGGATAAACATTTGGCCCAAGATGTGATTTCATATGAAACTTCAAGTCATTTACTCGTGTATATGCCTTGTCACATACGTTACAGAAATGTTTAATGCCTAAAAAATATAAAAATCATAACTACCGTTCATGCGTAATAAAAATCCATGGGTTTTATATCATAGATAACACTCTGTGTTATCTATGGTTATATCCGTGGCTGGAATTGAAAACCCCAAACCATTCTAATGGACTTTAGACAAACTATAAATATACAGGGTGGTCCGAACTGTATTCCGGAAACTTCGGCAGCATATCTGCAGATAAAAATAAGAAAAAAGTTTGTATAAATGTATGTCCTAAAATGGTTAGTTTCGGAGATAGAGGGCGTAGAAGTTTCATTTTAATTTCGATTTTTTTCAAATAATTTCTGAAATAACCTCTGGGAGTTTTTTGACATGGTGACATGGTGAGAAATTTGATTTTGATGTCAATATGACTCCTATTTGTAGAGGGCGCCACCTACATGTTTTTAACTGTTTTGAAGAGTAATAACTTTTCGTCCGTACCTGTATAAAACCTACTGAGTGAAAAAATATACATTTCCGTGACTTTTTACGTAAAAAATGTCTCTTGGTAAAAATCGCTACGAGTAACCGTTCTCAAGATATTTAGAATGGAAATGGTCAATACAAGTCATTATTGACAAAAAATAAACACGTTAGGTAGATAGTTATTTGGTTGGAATAATAAATTTGTGAAATTTTTAATTTTTCAAATAAATCATATTTTTTTCAGCGAAAAAATGATAATAAAACCAGTTTCTGTTGAACTTTTGACACAAAAACATTTAAAATTTATGATTTCAGTATAATAATTATTTAGTCAACATGTTTAATTTATGTCAATGATGACAGGTATTGATAATTTAGATTCCAAATATCTGGAGAATCATTACCCGTAGCAATTTTTACCAAGAGACCTTTTTTACGTAGAAAACGTCTTAAACGTATATGTTTTTACTCAGTGGTTTTATACAGGTACGTACGAAAAGTTACTACTCTTCAAACCCTTTGAATAAGAAGACTAAGGAAGAAGCATAATGCTATCCATGTATTCATGCATGGTGGGCGGAAAAAGCACTCTAAGGTGGGGATCCTTGACAGTTCTGTTTGACGATACATTTGACACATTTGAATTTGATTTGAAATTTTATGGATTTGTCAGTCTTTATGGAGCTTATTTTATGTTATTTATTATTTATTCTACTACTGATAGTTGTATAAAGGTAGTAAATCTAGATGGAAATTGTGGCAGAACTTAAGTTAACAGTGACACTATCGCGATTTATCGAAAAAGACTCTAAAATGGTTGGTTGTGTAGCGTGTGGTAGATCTCGGCAAAAATCGAGTGAAATAATAGAACAACTTTTCGCTAATAAGTGACTATATAATATACATACGTGTAGTAAACCGATCATTTATGAAATTCACTTAAATTAACTAATTATATATTTTTTCTTGCATTTTTGCTTTTATTTACTACTTGTCAAAGATTAGATGTCAAAGAATTTAGATACGTCAATTTGACTTACCAGATTTACCTGCTTCAGTAGCGTACCGGATGTTTGTGTTAATAAATAATTATTATAACTTATCTATTTTTCTTAGAATTATGTATTTTTGTAACAATTTTAATAACTACCAACATTTATTCACAACGTCAAATAAAACAACATATTATTGAGTCAACATGTCTAATTTACATGATGATAGGTTTTACATTTTTTAATTCCAAATATCTGGAGAATCGGCACCTGTATAAACCGGAATTTAAGTCGGCCATATTTGAGGTAGAAAACGTCTTGGACCTAAGATGTTTTGATATGCTCCTTCCTTCTTACGGACGAAAAGTTACTACTCTCAAACCAGTTAAAAATATGTAGGTGGCGCCCTCTACCAGTAGGAGTCATATTGACATCAAAATCAAATTTCTCATGACTCAAAAACTCCCAGACACCAATTTTCATCAAAATATTGACGTTACTTCAGAAATTATTTGAAAAAAATTGAAATACAAATGAAACTTCTACACCCTGTATCTCCGAAACTAAGCATTTTAGGACATACATTTATACGAACTTTAACTGTAGAATTTTCCGGAATACAGTTCGGACCACCCTGTATAAGAGTATTTTCATTGCTACTAAGAATGGAGTATTTAAAACAGTTGTGAAATTTAGAGCCCCAAACCATTCCAATTGGCTTTGGAGAAACAATAAATACCAAAAAAATAGTGTACAGAACGTATTCCAATGATTAACCCCTAAATATAGCCGATAGCAAAAAAACTGTACCTTGATGAGATATTCGTATATGATCTTCTAAATGTTTTTTACTAACGTAAGCTCTTCCACATATTTCACATTTAAAATTTCTTGGACCATGTAAAAGACGTAGATGCGCTTTTAAACTTGGGTGTGATTGTAATTCCTTTCCGCAAACATGACATTCAAATAACTTATCTCTTGCCATTGGGTCCGTACTTTTGTTTGATTTGTTATCGCTTCCCGGAGGCCCTTTATGAGCCTTTTCATGACAGCGTAATAAACCATACGAGGAAAATCCTTTGCCACAAAATGAGCATATCAATTTTTCCCCCGTATGTTTTCTTTCATGGTCCGTTAAATATTGCCTGCGTGTAAATTGTTTATTACAAAATGTACAACTATGTGGCTTGACTTCCATATGGGTAAGCATATGTCTTTTAAGGACACACTGTAAATTGAAGCGTTTGCCACATATAGAGCATTTATTTGGTTTTTCTCCTGTATGAGTTCGAACGTGTTCCACGTGTGTAGAGTAACTATCATGTTTCTTATTACAATATGGACATAAAAACTTTGACAGTTTCTTGTGATTGGTCTCAGTTTTGTGCTTTCGTAGTTCCTTGTAGCTTTGGAAAGATGCATCACATGTGATGCATATGTATGGTGGACCTAACAACAAACAAAGTTTAACAACAATTAAAACTTAATATGGAACTTAAAATCAACACACCTTTTAGGAAAACATATGATATATTTTTACTTTTTGATAGATGTTTTTTATCAATTAGCTGTGCCTTTAGTCTTCGTCTTTTCATAGATTTATTCTTTACTTCGATCTGCTTAATTTCAGTTTGATCATTTGCGATATCAAATAAAACATCAGCGTTATCTTTTTCGTGTCTGTCATCACCTACATCATTTTTTAATTCCTTATTTACAAGATCTGTTAAATTATCATCGTGTACTGTTTGTTCATCATTGGTTGTCTTAATTTCATTGTCTATTACTTCATTCTCATCAAATTCTATTTTAATATTTGTAATCCTCGATAAAGTATTAGTATTTTCTCCTTTCTCACTCTCTGGGTCATCAAATACAATATTAATCAATTCTTTAGAATCTTCAACATCAGACAGATCCTCTGTGTAATGAATATCTGAATGAATATCACCTACATTCTCGCTATCTGATTTCCCCTGGTTATTTTTCTTATATGTATTGTTTTCACCAACATCAGACAGATCATCTGTGTAATGAATATCTGAATAAATATCACCTACATTCTCACTATCTGATTTCGCCTTGTTATTTTTCTTATATGTATTGTTTTCACCAACATCAGACAGATCATCTGTGTAATGAATATCTGAATAAATATCACCTACATTCTCACTATCTGATTTTGCCTTGTTTTTCTTGTATGTATTATTTTCACGAACATCAGACAGATCCTCTGTGTAATGAATATCTGATTGAATATCATCTACATTCTCACTATCAGATTTCGTCTTGTTGTTTTTCTTATATGTACTGTTTTCACAAACCTCCATTTCAGAGTTTTTTGCAATTAAAACTTGTTCGTTAAGTTCATTCTGTACGCCTTGATAAAAATATCGTTTTAAAGTTTCTTCTGACTTCTTACACTTAAGTAAAAATTGGTATGTTTGGTACATATTATTAATACAACGTTGACACATCTTTCTTGGGAGTTTCTCATTCTTTTTTAACTGAAATAAAATATACACAAAGTTATTCAAGATGATAAAGATGAGATGAGAGACCTATTTTTACTAACTTTAACTAAATTCAATAATACTATATATTGGGTTTACCTTAAGAGGGGTCCAATTTTCGATTATTTCTTTAAGATCAAGACCTTCCCGATTAACATTGTCAATTAAATACAGGTCCTTATGAGCTAAGCAGGTTCGGCATACTCTAGGAAACATATTTATTGGATTAAATGGTAACATTTTGTATTAATCACGCTATTTTAATTTAACAGTTGCTGCATTATACTACCTGATACAGAGTGTCCAAAAATTTATATTAAATAATTACTAGCTTTAAATGGCAATAACTTATTTAATTTAAATGGGACACAATTTAATGTCCTAACCAACTGATCAATAAATAAACTTCAGTAAATATTTATATTAAAAACTTTGATACCCTTGGAGAAATGAAGCCTTAAAATGTTTACTGCAATTTCATAAAACTGAAAATATTTCAAAAACGGTAAGGTTTAAGTGTGATAAACCTTAATACAATTTACCTTTACTTCAATAGTAGAATCTAAAAACAGAATAATATACAGGGTGTTCCATTTAAAAGAAAATACAACTATAATATTTTTACTTATTTGGGACACTCTGTATCTTGTAAAATTATTTCTAAGTTGTAAAAATCTGATCGTTTAGCTACAATACTCCGTGTCGTATGTGGTGAACAACCCTGTTTATTACTCGGGGACTAATATACCCACCTGAGAGACAAAGGTCCCTTTTTTTCCTCTGGCGCTTTCTTCCGAGACCTATCGGGCTTTTGTTTTTTAAAACGGTACGTGGAGCAACCAGGTAGTTTAGAAGGTACTGCATCTACAAAAAGAAGTGTTTGTTGCTGTCACTTGAGGTACGTCCAGAGTTGAACATTTTAGCCCAAATTATTCAGTTGACGAGAAAAGAACTGAGTTCGTGCATAGTTGCACTTATTTAAAATTATGCCCAGGATAATTTTAGTGCACTACTTAAGTACTACACTACTTATAAGTAAGGAAATATTGTTATTATTTGGCATAAAAAATTACAGTGGAGTCCAGATTATGTGAAGTAGTACTACCGTAGCAACCTAGGATAATCAGAAACTTCATTGATCATTAAAAATACAACACACAGTGTACGCTAGCTAGAACATACATATAATACGTATATTATGGTATATTATTATGGTTTGGAACAACACCTGATAAAGCCAAAACTGTGTGAATTAGAGAAATGATTGACAAAATTTTTTTACTAAAAGTTCACTGTTTTCTATACAAAATTATTAGGTTAAGTAGATATGAATATCCAATTTAATGTACCTTTAGCAACTCTTGGATTCTTTAATGGAGCAGTTAATAGTTCGCCAGTTCTTTCCACATAATAAGAAGCTACTCTTTCAATTTCGTGGGGCCGAAAGCGTAATTCGCATACCTACAAGAGCCATTTGAGACAATATTAATACTAATAATAAACCTAATAGAATAAATGTTGGGTCCAGTATTTAGTATTTTAGGTACATGAAAAATTGCTATACAGAATTGAGAAGAGGAACACTTATAATGACATTTTCTAACGAAAAAAGTACGGATCGTCCATAAATAACACCAAAAACGACCCCCCCCCCCAAAAAAAAATGTTGTAATCAACGCAATCAAAACTCGGTTACGGCGAACGCTTTTGTGATCATAGATTGTGATCCTGTTCTCAACCTTTAACATAGATCAAAATATCATATCTATTCTTATCAACTTAATATCGCTACCGCTATTTTTCAAAATTAATAAGAAAGTATAAATAAAATAAAATCCGGATTTTCAATAGGTTTGTTCCAACCCCGCTGAGAACCGTTCAGGAACGGTTCCGTTCATGCGCATAGGGCTAAAAGCGTTCCAACCTTGATGGGGATCGTTCTCGAACGATTCTGGTTGCGTTCCAACCAATTTTCTGATCGTTATTAGAACGGTTTCGGAACCGTAATTTCGATACTTGCCAGTAAGTGAGAACTGTTTGTAATGACATGCGCAGTTAGTAAATTTTATCAGCTGATTGACATTTGGGCCGGGGCGTTTGCTTGTTTTGTTTTGTGGATTTGTTTGGAGTTTAATGGGTTTTAGTGTTTAGAATTCTTTCTATACTTAGAAATTGTCTATTTAATTTAGCTAGGGTTTAACATTTTACAGTTCACACTTTTCAACAAAAAAAAAACGAATAGTAAACCAAGTGAAACTTACGAAAATTATGGTTTGTGTCAATTATTTATTAATGTAGGTAGTAATTTACCACTTTTTACAGTTTCCACTGTTCTATGCAATTAATAAGAATATCTGTGAAGAATATTATTAAGGTTGTTTTGTTTACATCTTACATCAAACAAAAAGTGAGGTTATTTTAACCGGTGTTTTGACAAGACAGATTAAAAACGGTTCCGAAACTGTTCCAACCGATTGTCAATCTAGAATCGTTCAAAAACAGTGCCGAGTTAACGCATGCGTATAAGACTAGTCCCAATGATTTCAGAACGGTTCCAGAACCGATCTAAAACTTGGGGTTGGAACAAACCTAATATTTCATTGTTACCGCCAGCGATATCACTACCGACTAAAAAACAAAGCCAACTAACTGGATTGCAAATGGCGTCGATAGTAGATGATTTCTGGCGGGATATTTAACTATACAAATATGAGACGCCTGTCTAGGCACTTGATCTGGAACGCATAGGTATTTCATGAATAATAAACAAATCATATTTATATGGAACATATTAATCACGATATTAATCTACAAATGTATTTATTCAAAGAAACGCATTCGTTAAATTAAAAAAAATTATTTATAATAAATTATTTCGCATTTACTTACATTACTTGAATATAATTCATTGAAAGTTGATAATGAATGTACCGCGTCATATGTACTAGCACTAGCTACACTCTCAGCAACAGCTTTTTGAAACAAAGCATTTTCTTCTTTTTGCTTTTTTAATTCAGGACCCTCTCGATATGTGGTTTGTTTCGACAAATATTCTGGGCAACCTGGTAGTTTACTCGGAATCGCACCTAAAAAAAGATTTAAAATTTTTGCGACTATACAAAATCTAACAGTAACTGTAATTATTTTAAATGTTTAAATGAAATTATTAGACGACACTAAAACCCTTTATAGACAAGGCTAAAACCCACGATACTCAAGACAAAGAAAGAGCAGGGAGTTACAGGGAAATTACAGGGATTCTAAAGTTCTCCACATAAGTGTCGAATTTTTTGTATTATTACTTTTATGAAAACATCAGTAAGTTACTTCTTATAAAAAGGTCTGCTTTCTCAGAAAATAGGTAGTGTTAAAATATTCAAACTTGAGGTAGCATATATAGGGTGTGATAGGGTGTTCAAAATCATCGGAAAAAGAAATAACCAGAAATATATGACAGAAAATAGCAATATAAACTAAATATTCAATTGCAAACACTTACCTATCAAAGTTTAGAATTTATTGAATGTTTGATAAATATATACTATTATGGTCAGTTTAGGGTTCAGGGACAGACAAAATTTGGGTTCTGTAGAAATCCCTATTTTGTAAATCAATATGCTTTTATAAGGTGGTATTATGGAGAATATAACACATTTGCACATACCTTTTTTTAGCCTCGGTACCTTTAAAGGTACATCCAATGCTTCACCCGTTGTAACATAAAATTTTGTACTCCTTTCAACTTCTTCATTGCGAAAATGTAATTCACATACCTATATTTAATCATAATTTAAGTTTGATGGCCTTTTTGAGGCATATTTAATGCACTGCTTACCCGAGAACTGCTAGTAGGAGTGAAATTATCTCTTTTAATAGCTGTCAACCATTTTTTACGAAGCTCGTCATTTTTGGGGAATATAAAAGCAGAAACCTTGGGACCTCCTCTATAATTCCCGCGACAATTTGGAACAGAGCATGAAAAAGGCATGCTACAATAAAATGTTAACCCTTTAATACCTATCTTTTGATTATTGTAAGTAACCATTATAAAGATTGGCGGTGAAGGCTTTTTACTCATTTAGGTGTAATATCTTGATAAATACTTCTAGTTCTTACCTTAAAATAATTGATAATACAGGAGTACAACAAGCACCAAAGGGTGATGGTCCACTTTAGAAGGACTTTAGGTACGTCGTCAATCTTGAAGTTATTGATGTGAATTTGATATTAATATGTTCTCAATTTACTCTTGCAATCAGGAACACAACAAAGATGAGGCGCATCACAAAAAAACACACTCTGAATTGTTAGACTCTTAAGCCATTTAAACACAGAGTTTAAACCACGTTTAAACATCAAATGCATCAAAGTGATTAGTTTTTTGCACTAAAATAACAAATAATACCTAAAATCAATCCCCTGAAAAAATGAAAATGCTCGAATGTGAGCGAATACTGAATACATACTGGTATTTGCTGAATATCTACTGCTAAACAGCTGATTTTGTAAACAAAAGTCCACGCGCAGCAGTATCACCAAACGTAAAATAAAAAAAGTAAAGTCCCTAGATATATATATCTAGGGACTTTAAGAAAAAGCCATAACTAGGGATGATTCGATACGAGTAAATTAGAGTATCGATATCGATACTTTTGTTTCTATACTAAAGTGCGCGTAGTGGCTGAGTAAAAAAAAACATTCATAGTCTCAATAACTGCACTAGCAAAAAACTAAAACACTTAAATATTATGACAAAGCCAAGATTTCAATATTATTTTAATGCGATCATTGCGATCAGCAAGGACTAACCGGCACGGCGCAGTTTGTGCTAAGATGGCGCCCTAAAAAGCAGCTTTTTATTTGGGCCCCTCCCAAAATAAATTCCTGTATCCGCCCCTGTCAGTCTTGTAATATCAAGAAAAGATTTTTTTGTTTTAAAAGACAGATTTTTTTTTCACATATTATTGACACTAGAAAAAATTTCAAATGGCAGTGCTGGGTGTAAATGACACATATGATGACACTCTTTTGCGCTCCACAAAAAGTGCTAACTGCATCAATTTTCGGTAACGCTGGCACTACTCTAGTTGAATAGAAAAAATTATAATATTTAAAATTAGCGAATTAAATGTGTGGATAGACATACAATAAAAATAATTAATTTGGATTTTTGCCCAGCTAAATATAGCATTTTGTCGTGTGTTCGGCGGCATAAAATACATACTGATAATTTCTGATTTTTGCCGTTGAAGCGCTGCGGTCGGTACTTGTTGAAATCAACTGAAATGCACCAAGCCTATTGGAATTTACAATCAATAACGGATTGGGAATTTGCTGGAAATGATTCAGGTAGATAAATTTTGTGAAGGACATCATGTTTACTGATTAAATGACTTAAAATACATTATAAATTTAATTATATACATATAAAAGAATCATTATGAATGTCTTAAAAAGAAAAGTGAAATATAAATTTTAAAACACAAATGTAAAAATGTAATTTCTTTATTCTTATTAACTCTGAGGACTATTATTTGAATCCAAAAATCCATTTTTTTTTCCTATCTACCTATAGCAGAATCGATCAGTATATGGTATATGATCTGTGCATTGATAGATACTTTTTGTATAGGTAAATATTAACAAAGAATAAATATTTTTTTGTCCATAAAATAAATTTACAAATGATATACAAAGAGAAAATGGAAATTTCTACTCTGAGCTTTCAAGTTCTCCATTTTTATCATGAACTGCAAGGTGTTTTTTCAGTCCTCTGCCATCATAAAAAGCTTTGCCACATATTTTACAGACGTGATTCTTCTCTCCGGTATGGATTTTCATATGAGCGTACATGTTAGTCTTTTGAGCAAACGATTTTCCACAGACGTTGCAAGAGAATGGTTTATCTCCGGTATGGACGCGCATGTGGATCTCTAGATTACGCTTATTGATACATATTTTAAGGCACTCTTTACACTGATACTTTGTGTCACCTGAAAAATATAAATTGATTTAACTCTGTGCCAGTCTTGAAAATTTTAATGACCCCACAAAACTGCAATTTTTTCCCCATTTAACCGACTCTCTATATCCAGTAGTTTTCGAGATACCCATAGAGAACATCGTAGGAAACTCACCCTGTATAGTATTTAGAAACTAACTATTATTATTATTTGACTAGATTAATTTGATTAATAAAACTCGATTAATTTAATTTAAAATAAATTTGATCAGATTTTTTTTTCATATATTCTACTACCAGAAAACCAAAATTATATGATAACGCACTTTTCAACGAAGTTGAAGGAAGATATAGTGTATCTATCACAATACTTAATAGAATTACTACAATTAGAAGAAAAACAAAAAGAAAAAATACCCAAATACCTTCACCTACTACTCATCTACAAAATAAACTAATATAATCTTTTATAAAAACACTACACAACTACTTCTTCACTACTCAACCACTTCTACACTGAAACAATTATCAAACTTACTAATTAATCAAACAAAAAGAAAAATAACCAAATTATCCTTTCACCTACTACTTAACTGCAAAATAATAAACTATAAAAACACTACTAAACTATTTCTGGTATTCTACACTAAACATTATAATTAAACTTAATAAAATTAATCTAATTTTACACTACAACCACTACAACTACAAAGAAATAAGAACATTTTTTAAAACTAGAAGAAACAGAACCTTGATACGTGCAACCAGTATAATAGATCAAGCGGACAAAGAATATAAAATACTTTAAAAATGTGCATTCAGAAAGAAAAAATATCTCGAAAATTATCTAAACAAACATTTTTTTTTCTTATCAGTGAAAAGCATCGGCCTCGTCGACCTTGCGAAATTTGTCGGGTATTTACAATGGTCGAATTGTATAATTACCAGCTTTTATAGCATATCTAATAGACAAAAAGTCTCTGGTCGATTAGTAACCAATTGGCACAGTCCGAAAATTATCGATTTTTATTTTCTGTTTTTATTGGTCGCTTCAAAATTCAGAGTGACAAAAAATATTTCTTTTTATCTTTCTTTCTCTTTCTGTAGTAAAAGACTGTGAAATACGCCCCGCCATCTGGTGCTTTACATCCATAAACGTTTTAGGTTGAGCTACTTTAAAAATTCATATACAAGGCTTTTACCCTCAAAATTTCATTTGAATCACTAAAAGTACTTGGTGGAAAATTATAATAAATCGAAAGAATATTAAGACTTTTAATATGAAAAATAAATCTTATTTTCATGTGAGGAATCTCCCCACGAGACTTGGCAGATGTTTTTTAAAACACCCTGTATATAATTTTCAGTAATATAATAGCAAAGCTTACCAGTATGAATTCTTTTATGTTGGAACAGAGAACCCTTATATGTAAAACTTTTTCCACATGTTTCACAGGGATAATTATTTTGTCCATAATGTGACTTAATGTGAACCTCCAAGTCACTTTTTTGATTATACTCCTTGCTGCACATGTTACACGAATGTTTATTTTCTTAAAATTAAACAGAAAAATAAAACTGGCCTACGTGCAAAATAAATCGGCTATACCTGGATGGGAGAACTGAATGTGATATTGTAGTTTTTTTTTACTAACGTAAGTTCTTCCACATATTTCACAGCTGAAGTTTTTTGGACCGTGTAAAAGTATATGTGCTTTCAAAGTCTTCTCATTTAATAAGACCTTTTCACAGAGATGACATTGAAATGATTTGTCTTTGGATTTTCGGTCTTTAGCACATTGTTTATGTGTCTTTTCATGATACAACAATGTCCAGTACGAATGAAAAACTTTTCCACAAAATAAGCATACTAAAGTTAATTTTTCACCAGTATGTTTCCTCTCGTGATTCGTTAAATACTGCTTTCTTGTAAACCCTTTATTACAAAATCTACAATTATATGGTTTTATTTCCATATGGGTAATCATGTGTCTCTTTAAATCAGTCTGAAAATTAAAACACTTGCCACATGTAGAGCATTTATTTGGTTTTTCTCCTGTATGCGTCCTAATATGCTCTACATATCTACAATATGCGTCATGCTTTCTTTGACAATATGGACATATAAACTTATAAGATTTTTTATGCTTTGTCTCAATTTTATGTTTACTTAATTCCTCGTAATTTTCAAAAATAGTGTCACATGTAATACATGTGTATGGGGGACCTATTGACAAAATATAAAAAATTTAAAAAAATTGTATTAATAAAAAATTAAAATTTATTACCAATACATATTTAAAATCAACACACCTTTTCGAAAAATGTTTCTTTTTTTTCTTTTTGGTAAATCGCTTTTATCGATTAATTGTGCTTTAACTCTTTTCCTCAACATAACTTTGTTCTTTATTTCAGTCTGTTTCATTTCTAAGTTAACCTTTGAAATATCAGGTAGAGCATTAGTTTTTTCTTCTGTATCACTGTCATCGTTTTTTAACTCTCTGGTATCATCAAGATCAGTTAAATTATCACTGTTTACTGTCTCTTGGTAGTTTTTTATATTCACTTTACTTTTTGTATCATGCTGCTTAATTTCTGTTTTAATATTTGTAATCTTCAATAACTTAATAGTATTTTCATTTTTCTCCCTGTCTTTACTCATATCATTCTTTAATTCTTTAGAACGAAGCCTAGGTCGATTGTGTGTGCATTCAATATCGGAATGATTATCATCTTTATTCTCAGTACCTGATTTCAACAAGTTATTTTTTTCATATCTCTTATTTACATAAACCTCTATTTCAGATACTTTTGTTTTTAACACATGTTTGTCTACTATTTCTTGATCAATAATACCTTGTAAAGTTTTTTCTGACTTCTTACACTTAAATAAAAAATGATATGTTTGGTACATATCTTTAATACAACATTTGCACATCATTCTTGGTAATTTATCATTTTCTTTTAACTGAAATAAAATATACTTTTAAAACTATCTTCTATTCTAGATGTTAAAATTTGGTAAATTGGAAACACGTCCTTTATTATACAACTTACTATGTTTAACTAGGTAAAAGCCATATAAGTTAAATAATATTATTCAATTTACCTCAAGCGGGGTCCAATTTTGTATGACTTCTTTAAGATTAAGACCTTCCCAATTTACTTCGTCAATTAAATAAAGCTCGTCTTGAGCTAAGCACGTTCGGCATATCTTCGGATATGAATTTAATGGTAACATTTCGTAGTGATATCTTGAGTTGTTCAAGTCAAACTTTGCAGAGGTTGATAATTCATATTAGTTTATTTGTTCGACACCAACAAAGTTGATATATGAGTTATCATCTATTCGAGATTCTGCTTGCGGTTTGTAATTCTTCATTATGGGTGGATCGTTTTCATCTTTACTGGATTTTTTCTACAAAATCTCTGGAATTCCGGGTAGTTTTCCAATCTTTTAAGAAAACAACTAAGACAAACAAACACCAAAAAATCCAAAATATCTGTCAAAGTCTTCTTCTTTTCCTGATTGGTTTTACGGCCTAATCTGCCAGGGCTGTACGGCCTAATCTGCCAGGGCTGTACGGCCGTTTGATATCTCTGCATTTTTTATCAAAAAAAAACCGGTCGATAATTGTGTACTTTAAGGCCTTTGGGCATATGTATATGGCTTTAGGTTGCACCCATGGTACAAAGAAAACAAGGTATGATCGATAGCGGCTCAAATTTCGTTAAGTTTGTGCATACCACCTGTGACGTCATACGCCATACAAAAAATATCCGTATTGTTCAATTGCCACTAATAAAAAAAGACCTAAAATAGGGAAGAATTAGGACATAACCCCAAAAGTTATGTCAAATCATGGAGCTTGACATTTGAAAAATTATTTTCACATTTTTTGTGTCATCTGTTTGACAATTTGAAATTGGCGCGCGGAGCTTGCCGACCAATGGTACCGTTTATCACCTGTGACGTAGTGACCAACCTGCGCAATATCATACCTTGTATTCTTTGTATCATGGGTTGCACCAGGGTTGCACATTTTGAGCGTTTCCTTGGCGTCGGCTTTTGTAACTGAATTATTTCGTTAATTTTCCAAATGGACCTTTCTTCCAGTAACAGAAGCCCGCCCTTCCCGCCATTTTCAGCAAAGCACTTGTTTGACTTTTGTACTTTTTATATGTATTAATAAAGTGTGTATTAACATAATAAACAAATATTTAAGATTTGTACAAACAAATTTAAGTTCTTAAGTTCCGGTTGATAAGATTTTTTTTTAAATGTGAATTTTGCATATAGGTGCGCTAGGGGCGTTGTTGCCACACAGTTGCCAAATTATTTAATTCAATGAAAATTTTAGTTTTCTTTTTAAATTTTTATGGTCTATAAAATAATTTGGAGCTTATTTTTTATCCATCGTTCAAAAAAGAAAAGATTATCTTTTGTTTAATTTCATTAAATTATTGTTTTAGTTTCAAACTGATTTTAAATATTTTTGTAAATTCATTCAGTCGGTAAATGTCCGTAAATCTGACAACGCCGGGGTTTCCTAAAAGGACAAAGCGGCAAACGCCAAACGACGCCATTTTTCGTTTCACTTCCATTTTAGCTTTTGCATCGTATCGTCTTTTTCGTGGTTTAGCTGTGAATAAGAATTATAAATTTAAAAAGATTATAAGCTATTATTTTTTCGTTATTATCAATTGAGAATAGATTCTCATAATGAGTGATAGAGAGGTAAGAACATATTAGAGAGGTTTTTAATATCCCAACTATTATAAGCGGTATGTCTGAGGAAGCCATGCTTCCTCGGTTTAATGAAATTTGAAGCTTGCATACTTTCTTATAATCATTACATATTTAATCTTGTCGGTAAATACTGAATAATATAAAATAATTTTATTTTTGATGAATGTAAACTATCAATTCATCAATATTTACATTGTTTATTTGTTGCTAGGTAAGAATTAAAACCGACTTTTCCCCGCGACGCGATGATTCGCCCAGAGACCGCAAGGAGAAGAGCTACTCAAGGTAAAATAGCGTATTAAATTCGTATTTTAGTAATTTTACATGTATTTATTTATTATAAATATAGGAGTCCAAGTCGAGGTAGAAAGTCGCATAAGTATGATAGAGACCATCGACGTGATGACCGGGACAGAGACTACAGTTCTAGGCGTGATAGGTAAGTTTAATTATTATGAATTCTTTAAATTGATTGGTTATAGCTGCTTTTTAATGTTACACGTTTGGACTAAAGCGATGTCTGTATTAATTTGATTTTACAATTATTTCATTTTGTTATGCCTGGGTGAATTATACATTTATCATAGTTGATGTTAAATGTAATTAGGGTACAAAATACTTTTGTTTAACAGTTTATATATGAGCCAGTCTCATGTCTCACTGCACAATGTAACTCCATGTTTGAAAACTTTTGAATTTAAGTGTAAAACCACTTGGTATTTCATAATTTTTATATAACATTTTTCCAAATAGATAAATGGTAACCTCTGGTGTTTGGCAAATGTTATAATTTTAAAAAGTTATGAATATACTAAGTAGTTTTACACTTAAATTTAAGATTTTTCAAAAAGTGGAGTTAACTGTGCAGTGAATGGATCATATTATGTATATTTTCTCATTCAAAATTAGGTATTAAAATTAAATTTTTCTACCAAGTAATATTTTTTATTTTAATATTGTTGTGGATAGCGTTTGTTGAACAATTTTTTATAACTATTCATACTTTTCATTAGTTTCCACTGCACTATAAATTATGTACACTGTTTATTTAGTACACAAACTTTTTGTTTTCACTTTCTAAAAGCTTTTAATAGTTTTAACTTGAACCAAATTAAATTTTTTTAAAAAATTTTATTTAATATTAATGTATTGATAAATTCACCCAGTAGTTTTTCAGCTAAATTGACATCATGTCATTTTTGATTCCGATATTAAGCCATCTTGGTTATAAAATCTCAGTTCATACATATTTTCGTGGATCAATAACCCCTAAAGTTTTAAATATGCCACTATAAATGTGCTAAAGTGTTAAATAATTCTGGCGATTAAAAAAAAGTTTACCCCGAGCCGGTATTGAACTCGGTAGGTACTTCTCGCTTTATAGGCAAAACGTTTTCGCGCTGCTCTATGGAGACTTGTTTATATTCAATAATAGAATTTAACGGACTAAATAAAAAAATATATGATCTTCTTGCAATGCGCAGTAGTTAACGAAACAGATGACTCGCACGCTGTTCCAGAGAGCATAGCAAAAAATATGTTAAAGAAACCGCTTTCTTAAAATAATTTCTCGAAAACGGTGTCAGCTCTTAGACTATTATCTTAAATATGCGTTAGATGTATTCGGGGTGCAATTTTTTACTTTAATCGTGGATTTAAATTTAAAAAAAAATCAACTTGTTTGAAAACTAATGATAAATCGAAAGATAACTGTAAAAATTATAAAACCTTTTCCTATAAAGCTATAAAAAATATTCCTATATCAGATATACCCTATTCACAAAGTTACACTTGCTGTTGTAACGTTTAAATATTTTAATAGATCGAAACATAATAATTGTAAAAGATATAACATATGTATAACACATATCCCTAATATCTATTCATTTATTAAAATGTTGGACCGATTTTTGCACTTTGAACATTAAACGGTACTAATTTTATTCTCCGACTTAAGACAGTCATGATTATTTCCAAAAAAAATCCCTTTGATCTAAGCGGCCGATTTTTTTTGGCGGAAAACTTTAGATATTTTTGATTAGCTCGTTTACGAGTTATCGCCGATTTCTTTTTAAATATTTCTCCTTTCTTATGGTCCTGTATTTACTTACGAGCACCAGTCAAGGTAAAAGATAACTGTCAAATGAAGTTGTCATTTCAGAAATTTACCTATTTAGTGCTTTAATTATTATTGAAAACTCATTCCTACATCGGAAATCTTAAAAGATGTATTTATAAATACAAATTAATATGAATTAAAGTAAAATAAAGTAATCAATTACAACGTTAATTATAGTATTATTACAATATTCAATAACTTATTAATTTAGGTACTAAATTAATAAGTTATTGAATAAAATGACAACTTCATTTGACAGTTATCTTTTACCTTGACTGGTGCTCATAAGTAAATACAGGGCCATAAGAACGGAGAAATATTTAAAAAGAAATCGGCGATAACTGGTAAACGGGCTAAGCAAAAATATCTAAAGTTATTCTTTTGAATGTAGGTTTTAATGCTCTTCAATAAACCTAAATAGAATTATTCTCTAAAATAATTAAGGAAGCCAATAATTGACCCCATTAAAACTTACATGGGATTTCCTATGTCCCGCTCGACGATGCAACACTGGAATAGAAAATTGATTAAAATCAAAAAAATCTGATTAAAGTAAAAAAAATGTTTTTTTTAATTTTTAAAAAAAATGATTTTTTTGCACCCTCGATGTATTCACGAAAGCATGTATGATCTAGAATTTAGACCCGAAATAAAATTATAGCTATTATCGTTTTACTATTCGCAATGTTAATAAAAATTTTCGCATATTATATTATGTTCATAATAGAGGATGGAGCACGTTCTTTGTGTAAATAGACTCGACGGTTTTACTAGCAATGTCTAACGTAAATTTTAAGCCCCCGGGACGACATAATATCGGTCGAAGGAAAAACGGTTGCGCACTCGGAGAGTCGAGAACTAAACATGTCTTTTTGTAATTTGACCTTCTAGGTCGCGCAGTAGATCGCGCTCAGACAAACGTCGCAAGTCCTCGAGACATTCGCGCAGCCAATCACGCTCGCCCGGATACGGGCGCTCTCACTCTCACAGTCCTATGTCTAGTCGCAGGCGCCACATGGGCACGCGCGACAATCCCAATCCGAACACCTGTCTAGGCATCTTCGGGCTCAGCGTCTACACCAACGAGGACGAACTGTACCACATTTTCAGCAAGTACGGTCCAGTCGAACGAGTTCAAGTCGTCATCGATGCCAAGGTAGGTTTTCTTGTGTCGTTTACGATATTGGAGCGGTGTTTTTGACCGATACCTCATAAAATTTGATATAGAAATGGATCACATCAAAAACATAGAGTGTAAAAAAGCCAAGTCTCGCAACATAATTCTTCCTCTATAAAAAGTTGTGAGATACACTGTGAGACAATGTTATACCGTATGATCGAAAAAAAACGGCGTCCAGTTGGCTGGGAAATGACGATCGATGATATTTCCCATATAAATTTACATATAAAATGACAGCGATCTTCATTTCCCAGCCAACTGGACGCCGTTTTTTCTCGATCATACGGTAAATTGTTAGTATCAATAATAGTCATCTTTATTTCTGTAATAATTATAATGATTTGGTAATTGCACAGCACCATAATTATAAAAGAATAACTACTATAGTCTGTAAAACGAATAACTTTGAATTTAACAGTTCCCGCGGGCTTTTCTGGTGTTAATTTTATTAGGTTAGCAACTTGCGGCCATGCTGACGCAATGCCGGCTCTAATAGAACAGCCTCGGAGCGAGATTTATGACGTCACGCTAGTTAGATGCCTATTACGGATTAATAAATATGTTGTAGAATACATGGGAAACATAATAATTATTCCTCGTATTTTTGGTTTGTATTTTAAAAATGATATAGTTTACATGAAATATATATAATATACAGTTAATAAATACAATATATATACCTATTTATAGTAATAAATACTTTGGAAGATAAACTATGAACCATACAAATGCAGCAAATGTTTTACAATATGGCTGAAATCGCACTCCATAGTCAATGTAGATAGTTTTTGTGTTAAGAATAATAATTTAAAAAAAATATGTGGTCATCTTTTGACAAGTTTATATTAGTTTATTAATTGCATTAAACATTATAATATATAAATAAATTTTGTGAATGCAAATAATAGTACATCACTATTAATAGATATTGAATGGTTTTTGTTAAATTAGATCGATTTTCAAATCCCAAAATTTAAAATATATTTTACATTTTACCCATTATCTTATGTACCACCTATTCATTATTTGTATATTGTAAAACATTTGCTGCATTTGTATGGTTCATAGTTTATTTGCCAAAGTATTTATCACTATAAATAGGTATATATTATATTGTATTTATTAACTGTATATTATGTATATTTCATGTAAACTATATCATTTTTGAAATACAAACCAAAAATACGAGGAATAATTATGTTTTCCATGTATTCTATACTATATTTATTAATCCGTAGTATCTAACTAGTGTGACGTCATAAATCTCGCTCCGTGGCTGTTCTATTAGAGACGGCATTGGGCTAATATTTAGAAATGTCAAAAGCTGATGACATTTTACTTTTGTCAATTATTACATTTCGTGTTGATTTTTGCAAGAAGTGGAAGACCTGTCACTTGTTTTATTATTTTCCTGTTATATTTCACGAAAGTAAAAAGAGTTACCTATCTGATTCGTTCAGGCACTCAATTTAAAGAATATCAGTAACTTTTTTGATAGAGGGATTTCATATTTGCCATGTTGGTAAAAAATAACGGTCAAAATATTCAACGGTCAAGTTATTCATTTTATAGACTATACTAAGTAAATCTAAACAGTGCCCTTAAAAAAGTTTTTTTTAATTAGAATAGAATATATCGTGCAATTACTAAGTCATTATAATTATTACAGAAGTAAAGATGATTAATATTGATACTAACAATTTATAACAAAATTGTTGAATAGGTGCTTAAAGAGAGACTAAATAAAATAAACCAGCTTGGTTATGTATATGTTAGTATTCGCGAGAATACGCCTGACTCGAGCGCCATCTTACAAAGAAAGGATGAATTACAATGTGAGTGATTGACTTGATCCTTCATTATTTAGTTTATGTGTTAAATGTGTTTTGTTTTATTGTGTTTTTTCGGCTTCTTTACTTTATTTGATTTTTAAACTGCTGATCGTCGAAAAGCGCCATCTCTTGGTAGCGTATTCTCGCGAATACCTATCTCTTACTACCGTGCCCCTATATTAAAAAAACCCGTCCTGAAATTTCAATATTTTAATAATTATACATAATATATAGATATCAGTCATTAAATAGTTGTGACAATGTTCGCAAATTTAGTTTAACAATCTAGTTTAAGAACTTTTGTTAAGCTTAACCTTACTGAGCTTGTTTAAAAACTAACCTTAGTTATTAGGAAAGACGTTTTCTGGAAAAATTGTTTAATATGGCTTGTGAAATGCATTATCCAGTCTTGATTCACTGATATAATATTCACTACATTTATTGACAACAAATCTTGAGACATTTCATCAAAACAATTGTTTATTTTATTTATTTTTTAGAATTTTATTAAATTGAAATAGCATAGTATAATTTTAAGTACATTAAAAAACAACTAGATAGCAAATATATTGAAATTCTTAATATGTATTCTTTATTATAATGCACTTGATTTAATGTATTCATTAATATCCTGACAAGTTTTGATTTTTTATCCTTTGTTATTTTAGGAGGTATTGGTTGAAATTGTTTCCATTATTCGATTAGAAAAATCAAATAATGGAAACGGCTTTATTAATAATCTGTTGAAAACATATTTTTAACTTAATTGCATGTAGGGTGTAATTAATAGTAAAATGCCAAATTATTGATCTTTCCAGACTGGCAGATCTAGAGGATTTGCCTTTGTGTACTTTGAAAAAACAGAGGACGCCAAAGTAGCCAAGGAGGAATGCTGCGGTATGAAAATTAATGATAAAAATATCAGAGTAGATTTTTCGATTACTGAGAGAGCACATACTCCCACTCCAGGCATATACATGGGAAAACCTACTTAGTAAGTTTATACATTTATTTTTCTAACTAAACTAATAGTTATAATAATGGTGTTTTTAATATTGATAGAAGTAGTATTTTGATCATGTGTTGTATTTTTTTTTTCATTTCCAGTATACAAATAATTCTATTTCATGTAATTTTGAGAAATAGTAAGTGTATATTGGAATATATTATTAAAAGTATTTAGGAGTTGTCACTTTGAGCTTTGTGACAACTTAAAGGAAACTTTATACATTTCTACAGTTTTATTATATAGCTCAGAATATAGGTTTGTTCTTGTTTTTTTAGCAAGTACAGTGATAGATACGGCGACAAATACAGAGACAGACGTCGTGACAGAGAGTAAGTACCTACTAAGCATTTTTTTATTTTAAACAGACCAGAACAATCAAACGTGTAAAAAAGGTAGCTGCAAATTCGCATCATATGTCTTGATAGTTATATGAATCCTGCTTATTCTGACTCATGTTGGACGAAGAAAGATTATTGAAATTGCCGCTATCTTTTTATCACGTTTTGTTGTCAATCTGGTCTTCACATTGATTATATTATGATAAATTATTAAGGTGCGTTCACACCGGCTGCGCCGCCCCGCCCAAGTCACTTTTTTAACATATACTTTTGTGCGTGCCAAAAAATGCGCGGCGCGGCGCGGCCGACGTGAACGCACCTTTATACGTATTGTTACATATCACTAATAAACGCTTTCTATATTTCAGTTCCTATTATCGGAGCTCTACCAGATACCGTCGTTCACCTTCTCCTTACTACAGCAGCAAAAGTCGACGAAGATATTCCAGATCGCGAAGCTATTCTCCACGTAAGTTAATTTCCTTCTATTGATTTTGCCAAGTTGAATTTTACTACAATTTAATTACGTTCTTATACACTCAGATGCAAAAAAAACGCAACGGAGAATTTTTTTGGATAAAGTGTTATATTTTTGTTATTTGTAGTTCTATTTTCATTAATTTCTTAGCAAGCTGTATATAATTATACGAACTTAATTCGTAAAATAAGTTTTTTATAAACTTTGGTGTTTCGCATATTATACAGGGTTAATCGTGGGGTTGTTTTTTTACCCTAACTTTAAAACACCCTGTGCAATAATTTCGTGTGTAAATTTTTCTAAAATATAATTTTACGGTTAGAACCATAATATCTGCTGAGTATTTTGTTTTTTGGATCATCTTAATACATGCCTTGGTTAATTTTTAAGAGCAAAATGAACTTGCCACCAACAATTTGCAAATTTTTCAATTATCATTTCTTTTTGAAGTTACTTTTCAATATGACAGGGAGGCTTTGGTGATTATTGTAAACTATATACCACTATAAACTGCCCATCATGTTCGACGTTTGGGAAATGCTTGGCAGGAGGGTTAGAGGTCGCGAAGTAGTACCAGCTTCATTAAATGAACTTCGCTTGGTCATTAAAGAAGAATAGGAAAACATAGCGCAATATGATATATTATGCAGCCTCAATGACAGTATTATGGAGGCTAGAAGGAGGAGGCGAATCGACAATGGGCATATTTGAAATTTCTGTCCCTACTTTAAAGCAAGTTTCTCGGTTTGACACCAGAGGCACTGTAAGCGGGTTAGATTGATCATTTGCATTGTTAGAATACGATTTAACTGTGTTTTTACTAGTTTTCTTTAAAATTTATAGTTATTTTATTGAACTATTAGCAATGTAACAATGAGTGTGATTAAAAAACCCTATATAATAGATCTTGCTTCGTACCTGGCTGTATAAGTGGGACTTTCAGTGGAAAAAAGGCAAATAAAGAACGGGGTGAAAGAAACCCAAGTCTTTTCAAAGGTCCTAATGTAAGTGGTATAACTATTTATTTAAAAAAATATGGATAGATGTTAAGAAAAACATTCAAATTATATACTATCAGTGTACAGATTAATTTTTAATTCAAATTAATAGAGAATATAGCCTAAAATCAACATCTGCGTAACATAACCTAGGAGACCTTGTTATAAAATAAAAATAATTTACCTACTAGCTGGTGGCTAAAATTACCTGTTGATATGTATTAATCACCATTTGAACAGTGCTATTGGAAGTGAATTTACGCCAAAGCAATATAGTATTCTAATATAAAATAATTGACTTACCCGAGATGCTTCATTTAAATTGAAAAAAATGTAGAGTGGTTGAAGGACTTTTGATTGTGTATATAAACCATTTAGAATAGTTTTTATGAATAAGCTCTTTAAATTAATATGTAGGTATATTGTAGCCAGGTATTTATTTAGAATGCATTTTTTTAAATTATAATTCTTTGTGTTCTTGATATAACATGTTCCTGTTATATTTTTTTGGTATAGGTGCTAAATTGTATATTAAATTTATATACTGTATATTTTATTTATTAAATTTAGTGGAATTAGTCAGTTAAAAACAAAAGTTGTAAAGTATTAATATTGCTAAATAAATAAATATATGATGAAATAAGTCAGGGTATATACATATTTACAACTCTTTTAAAATAAATTGAGTTCATTATTTATTCATTAATATTTTATTTACAAAAATTTACCTTTACAATTATTAGGTGACATTGAATATAATACATCTTGAATTTAATTGTCTACGAAACAGTGACAATTTGCAAAATTTTGCTAATGACATTAAAACTTAAATTCAGAAAATCTAAAGAAAAAACACTATTGGACACGGGAAACATTTCAGCTTAATGTACCTATTTTCTGGTTTCAGCTATAAAAAGCTATGAGATAGATAACACTGATCAAAGGGTGCAACAGTAGTGTTCATCTTCACTTTCCATTGAAGTTATTCCTGATAAAATACTTTTAATTTTCGTGATTCAGTTTCTGTCAATTGCGGTAAAACCACTACTAGTTTGTTACGAAAGTTTTTAATGTTTATTAAAATGATATCACACTGAACTGCTTGTAAACATATCAATTTCAAATGTTTTTATGAAAAACTATTAATAAATCACTAACACAATCACACCATAAACTATTTAATTCGCATTTGTCATCAAGAAACAATTACTGTTTACATCAGGTTTACATCAAATCAAAGGTTGAACTGGTGATATTTGTTGCTGGAAATTCTATCTTTTTTGTTCAACAGTTATAGGGAAGATTTATTTTAACAGCTTATATTTTTCTTCGGTCGTGTATGCACTAAAAAGAACCATATAATGAAACAATTTTATAATAACAACTTAGAAAAAGAATATCTAAAACCGGCATCTGATATAACCTAACTTCTAACTTACTTTTCAAACTCAAATTTAAGGTTTTGTATTCACAATTTTAGCCACGCACATTGTTCAATTAGAAAAACACGTTTCTAAAAGCTAAATCTGGTAATAATATGCCCAAATATTAACTGAACTCTATAATTTATAACAAAATAGTAATTCTTGCCATAAGAAGCTGTGTATTTCTCAATCTATCGGATCACATGCGCCCCTAACGGCGATTTTCGAACTTCATTTAGATCTCAAAAACTGGGCCCATAATTTTTGCGTTCGATTCGCCTCCTCCTTCTAGCCTCCATAGACAGTATAAACGGACGTATATAGGCAGTTATAGCTGCCAAGGGAGGCAACACAAAGTATTAGGATATTTTTTACAATTTTTTGTTTGTGTACTTGAGTATTACAGAAAGATGTTTTTTTAAATATCGTTAGTTCTGTTACCGTTATTAATGTTTATTAAAACCCAGGCTGTATTGTTAGTCTTTAACGTCGTTGTTTTTTTTTAATTTAGTATAGAGTATCCAATGCAGGATAACCCTTTGACCAAAAATTTCTCCGTTGCGTTTTTTTTTTGCATCTGAGTGTAGTTATAGAATTTTGAATTGACACAAGATTACTGAAAATTTTATTACGGTACAGTATAATTATATTGAAAAGAAATCGAGATATTTTGACATCTTAATAAGCTTATAGATTTGTTTATCTGCATGGGAAAGAAAAACTACTAACTTATTAATGGTAACATATTTATTTTACGACCATCTGAAAAACAGGAAAATAGGCACAATATACAGGGTGGTCCGAACTGTACTCCGGAAACTTCGGCAGCATATTCTGCAGATAAAAATAAGTAAAAAAGTTCATAAAAATGTATGTACCAAAACGCTTAATTTCGGAGATACATAATATAGAATTGTCATATTTATTTCGATTTTTTCCAAATATTTTCTGAAGTAACGTCAATATTTAGATGAAAATCTAAATGTCTGGTGTCTGGGAGTTTTTTGACATGAGAAATTTAATTTTGATGTCCTAATATTATTCCTACTTGTAGAGGGCGCCACCTACATTTTTTTAAACTTGTTTAAGAGTAGTAACTTTTCGTCCGTACCTTTACTAAATTGAGTAAGTATTCTGAGTGAAAAAATATACATTTCCATGACTTTTTAAAAGTAAAGTAAAGATAGCGTCTCCTTTTTGCTGCCGGGGCTAATCTGGACGGGGCTTACTTTGTTTACGCGGAATCCGAACCGCGGTCCTCGGCCATATCACGGTCAATGGCCTACCGACTTGGCAAGCGTCTAAACTCTTACTCACGAGATATCCGATCTCATCCGGCCTCGAACCGGCGTGAATGAGCAGCGTGTGTCAATAGATTTTACACTTTTGCCTTTATTGGACAACAGCACAATACAGTATAAAACAACCGAACCGGTCACCCGTCCATCCACTGGTATCGCCTTACGTCGCTTAACTTCGGTGTTCTAATGGGAACCGGTGTTTCGACGTAGCTGGGCCGTTGCCCCATGACTTTAAATAAAAAATGTCTCTTGGTAAAAATCGCTAAGAGTAACCGTTCTCAAGATATTTAGAATGGAAATAGTTAGTCAATACTAGTAGTGGGAACTATCGAAACATTCGATAGTTGCAATTCATTCGAATAATTCGATAGTTAGTAAGAAAACATTCTTTGAAAACTATTCGAATAAAAATTATCGAATAGATCCGTCATCTGCCTTGAAATATTGTATTCGAGTAATTCGGCAGCAAAAACCATTCATTTATAAAATTCATTCATTTATGAAATTCATTTATTCGTCAAGATCGATTAAATAAAATATTAACTGAATTTTAGTTGTCGAGGACGTAGGTAGACGTAGGTTTCGGCAATGCTATGAAAGAAGGCGGCATCTTTGATTTTTTGCGGAGTCAGATATAGATAAGGACACATTATTTTTTTATTGAGGTGCTAGTATTTACACAGAAAATACATTATGATGGGCGCTGTTGCCATATTTTGGTATTAGTTGATATTAGCAAAGAATATTATTGTTTGGCTTTAGTTAGTTAGGGATAGTATGTCTATATATTCTGCATTTTTTTTATTAATATTCTGTTGTTACACTGCAATAATACTTGTTATTTTGGATGTAGGAAAATTATTTTTAATGTTTTTAAGCAAAGACTGGTTTAATAAATAATAATAACAGGAATAATTCGTTATACCCATTAACAACAAAATTTAAAATCATTTAATATAAATATTTTTTTAAGCAGTAGCAAAATATAAACAACAAATTAGATGTCAAAATTATTTATATTAGATCCTATTTAAAAATAATATAGTCTCTAAATTTTTTGTGTGTGGCAACGTTGGTTTATTAAATAATAATTACAGAACTAATTTGTTATATTAACAACAAATTTTAAAATCATGAAATATAAACATTTATTAATTTTCTAAGCATGCAGTGTAATGGAAGGAAAATATAAATAAAATATTCGAAATCAAAATTATTTATATTAGGTGCTTTATATTACTATTTAAAAATTATATTTACTTTTACTGGCATTTACTTTAAAAAATAAATGAAATATTTCTTCGCAAAAAACTACATGTAAAAGAATTAGCATAAAGAATTAGCCAAATTAAATTGGCACGTGTAAAACTTTCATTTTAATTTTCTCACCCCGTAGTTTGAGTTCGATAACCCCATTTACTTAACCACATTACTTAAATATGATTATTAAGTTCAACTAATTCATATTATTAAAACATCTAAAATACAAATATGTATTTTTAAAATTAATTGTAAGTTCATCTCATCTCTCTTAAAAATTGCTACTTCTCAAAATTTCCCATTAAAAAATAGACTATATACCATATAAAATTAAATAATTGAAAGATCGGACTACGGAAAACCACACAATTTTTTTTTCATTTATTTTAACTATTTTAATAAACGCAAAAATAGCACAGTATTTATACAGCGAAGTTATAAAAATTTGGAAGAACTAATAATGCACTGACGCATACAAAAATCAAACGAATACTAAATTTCATTTATCGAAAGCATTCGATAGTCGTGGCTCAACGATAACCATTTAGTCGCACGGCGAGGTTGTCACATATGCTTTAGTATACAAATGAATGAATGATTCTATTCGAATAAAACCATTCGATAGTTGAAATCATTCATTCATTAACCATTCGATAGTCTAATTCATTCGATAGTTCCCATCGCTAGTCAATACACGTCATGTTTGACAAAAAAGAATAAACACGTTGAGTACATAGATATTTGACTGAAATAATAAATTCGCGAAATTTTTATTTTTTAAATTAGCCATAAATTTTTCTGCGAAGAAAAAACAGTTTCTTTTGATCTTTTGGCACAAAAACATTTCAAATTTATGATTTCAGTTCAATAATTATTTAGTGAACTAGTTTAATTTGTGTCATTGGTAACAGGTATTGATAATTTCGATTCCAAATATCTCGAGAACCATTACTCGTAGCGATTTTTCCAAAGAGGCCTTTTTTTCGTTAAAAAACATCGTAAATGTATATTTTTTACTCAGTAGTTTTATACAGGTACAAAGTTATTACTCTTCAAACCAGTTAAAAATATGTAGGTGGCGCCCTCTACAAGTAGGAGTCATTTTGACATCAAAATCAAATTTCTCATGTCAAAAAACCCCCAGATACCAATTTTCATCCAAATATTTACGTTATTTCATAAATTATTTGGAAAACATCGGAATAAAAATGAAACTTCTACACCCTGTATCTCCGAAATAATAATAATAATAATAATAAATAATAAAAATGTTTATTCAAAATAATCAATTACAAAGTATATAACACTTCATATCCAATAGAAGATAAACATAGAATCCTCTTAAGGTAAATCCTTGTCTGAGGTTTCATTACTACAATAATAAGTACAAAGTTATTATATCCATAATTCTAAAATAATATCTAAAAGTATAAAATTAATTATTTCACATCCACACTAACTAAGTATACATTTATACGAACTTTTTTACTTAATTTTTATCTGAAGAATATGCTGCTGAAGTTTCCGGAATACAGTTTGGGCCACCCTGTATATTATTACTAAGCTCTAAGCTACAATCACCCCATGAGTTTTGTTATGATAGCAACATTCAAATAGAAATAAACTTTTTAAGAGCTCTCACTTAATTTTTTTTTTAATTAGTGACAGAAAACAAACATCTTGTTAGTCACACTTTTACTGAAACAAATACAGATCAGTGATATACACCGTCTAATTCTATGCACAGAATATGGTATCTTCAGTGTTATTCGCCAACTGCTGAGATCAGTTTAGTTTTAAATCCTCAACGTCCAATTTGTGCCAAAGCTCTAAAAAACCTTTGATGTTGGCGGCGCGCTCTATAAACTCTATATTTTTCTCGATTTCTTTTTGATGGTGCAATAACTGCTGTTTATCTGTCTAATTTTTGTATAGCAAAAAATCGTTGCTCATTCGCGCTCACATTTGGACAGAAAAAAAGCAGAGCTTAGCAAAATAATTTGGTTGGGATGTTTCTCTTTCGGCAATTATTTTAATTTTCGTATATTTGAGAGCATAAAGTCAATCAAACCAAAAACTTGAATTGTTCGTAAGGGAGGGAAAATTGTTGCCTTTCTAGGAGTTATTTTTGAACCTATTGTAATATAGATATTTCATTTTATATTATCAGTGGTTCGCTATCTTTTCATAACAATTTTGTATTGACGATCTATTATCCTTTATTTTAATTTATTTTCATTTGATATGAATTTCAGGTCGTTAATAGCTTTGGAGCTGGTCAGTGATTTTGGATGCTTCAAGGCTCAGTAACTTGAGCCATACCTGCATTAAAATTTTATTTTACTTAGAAATATATACATTAGTTTGGGTTTAATTTTTTTTCAAAATTCACTCGAAAGCGTCGTTATAAATGATTGACTTCAGGCACAGATTGCTCTTTTTGAATGTCCACCAAATATTTCCAAGAGTTGATGCTAATATTACATTTCATATATGATTTTTAAGATTACCAGAATCTTACAATTTTGAATATTACAACTTCCATATATTTATTGTAGGAAAACGTTTCGCGTAGATATTTCCTCTAGTGATGTATTAAATGTAACTTTAGCAGCTCTTGCAGTTTAATCTAGACTTAGTTGTTTTACATTTTGTCCGCTCTTATAAATGTGAAATAGATTTTAAGATTATAAATAAAATAATCAATTTTGACTAATCTCGCTTTTCTGTGTTTTTAAAAAGGGTTGAGAACAGGAACTTTTGGATGAAATTGAAGTTTATTGAGAAATGAATGAAAATAAAAATATCAAACGTTGCGAAGCATTATCGCTACTATGAAAAAAATTGAATGAATGAAAACAAGAAACTGTATTGAAACAAGAGTTTCCATTTGAAGAATGAAATCTATCTCGGTCGAAAAAAATATTTCTATGAAAAAACAAGTTTGTTTATGGCTGCAAAATATCTTCGTTATCTTCTGTCAGTCACCTACTCCATGTCCAACATCATGCCCATTGAAACTTCCTGTCCACAATCCTTGCCTATTGAAAATATTTCTTTAGGCTTTCCCTTCATTGCAAATAAACTTCTTTTTCAATCTATAAATTTAACTATGTTTATGTTTTACTATTTGGTGAGTATAAGAACAAGTAAGAATCACATTGTAACTTATTAAATTAGGTTGAAATATATGTAACTTATGAAATGTATCATTTGTTGTTCTTTTATTTATTATCCCATATGCTGTATAACAATGCCATGAAAATACTGCTTTAAGGAAAAAGGAAGCTGTGAGAAAAAAATGCAATAAGTCAATTTTAAAAAGACTTGAGTCTCAAGTCTTAAGTCATTTCTAAAATCAAAATGATTTAAGTTTTAAGTCAAATTCAACATAAGGTTCAAATGATTTAAGTGTTTGACTTTAAGTCGTTTTATTTTAATTAAAGTCATGTTTGTAAAGACTTAAATCATGATGATCTGATTGATCTGCAAGTTAAATCAATAAAATGACTCGAAGAAAGTCAATAAAATGACTGAAAAGATGAGACTAAAATGGTTATTTTTCAGAACAACTAAAACCACAAAAATATGTTTTTTTTTTATAAAATTTAACCGATTTTGTAGTACTTTTGACAGCCTATACGTAAAAAATAAAAACTTTTTATTTTATTAAAAAATTAAATGAATAAAATGCAATTTTATTTTTATGAATACCAAATTTACTGTTTTTACAGATATTTTAGAAATCCATAACAAACAAAAACCAGTAATAATGTTATACCGTATGATCGAAAAAAAAACGGCGTCAGCGATGGCTATGAAATGAAGATCGCTTGAAATGGCTAAGAAATGAAGATTTTATATGGGAAATGTCATTGATTGTCATTTCCCAGCAAACTGGATGCCGTTTTCTTTTGATCATACGGTATGTGGATTTGGATAATCAATGACTAAAGAATACAAGGACAAATAACACCCGAGACCAAACTGTTACGAAGCAGTGCCGTGGCACATATTTTTCTTAACATAGTCGATTGAAGCCATGTTTATATTTATGATAAATGTTTTGACTACGCCTATGGCGTATGCGGTGGTGTCATACTAATTAATTACGAAAAAAACTTATTAAAATGTTAACAAAAGGTGCAAAATTAGTATCGACGTATAGCACATATCAAGTCCATATAGTATCAGAAAAATAATTATAGAATTCAATAAAAAAACGCTAAAAAGGTGGAGTGGACTGTTTATTTCTCTATGAAACGTAACTACTGGCTCTTTCTTATCATTGCGCACAAATTACGCTGAACAGCTGAAAGCTGAACAAATTACGCTTGTAATAAAGTTTATACAAAGTTCACTACATACAACAAAGTATTAAAAATCTCTAAAATTGTCGCTGATGACTCATTGGTTACTTCGAAATAAATGGCGTCTAAAGCTCACAAATTCTGTTGCAGTTCGTATATGGGCGTTACACGTCCTTATATTCTTTAGTCATTAATATAACTATTAGTTATATAAACATAATTTGAGTTTTATAAATTAAATATATACAGATAATATTGTTGGCTTTGATGATAGCTTACTTCGGGTTTTTCATATTACCGATTCTGAACCGTCCTAAAACTTATATAGGTACACGCGCAGAAGAAAATAAGCGGCAATCTTTTCATTTGGGTATGGGCTGTAGAGTTCTAGGACGGTTCAGAATCGGTAATAAGAAAAACCCGAAGTAAGCCGATGACTATTTTAACCTTAAATCAATCTAGCATAAGAGTGCAAAAAAAAACAGCATCCCAGTTGACTATTTAGAAATTATCGCTGTCGGAATGTCATTAATCATTTTCAAAACATATTAACGTTGTTTTTTTTTCTCATTCACACGGTACTTAATATTCCTAGAAGATTAATATAACACGATAAAGAAACAGCGTTGGAGTTGGATTGGAAATGAAGAACCCTGAAATTTTGTATGTAAATGGGAAATGTCATCGATCGCCATTTCGTCATTTCCAAGCCAACTTGATGCCGTTTTTACTGTAACGCTATAATGTATGTACATAACATAAACATATAGGTATAGTATAACCAGTGAGAAGAATATGTAATTTCAACAGACCTCCAAAAAAAATTACAGAAAAATAAATCTACTTTTAACACAGCAGCAGCGATATTAAAACAACAGGTAATTGTCATATATTCTTTTTCTGGATATCTACTGATTTGGTCATTTTAGAAGTGTGGTCTGGATTTTAACGTGTAAGACAGTTAATATAAATGACCAGTTAACAGACAGACGGAGACAAAATCAACAGCGGCATATAGTGTTGCCGGTTTTTAGGTTTGTAGGAAAATTTGTGCAGAAAAAAAACTATTTTAAAAACTTTCATGTATCATGTATACTACTGAAATGAAGATAATATATCTAAGCTAAATATAATCTATTACATCTGTATAAAATGAGTAACTAATTGTGAAAAATAAGGTTCAAACCCTAGATGCAACATTTTCCATAAACGCCTACTTGTGCGGTTTGAACTTTTGATGCAAAATCCGGCAATATCACATACAAGAAATGTATCAACCCAACTTTTATCTCTTTTTAATACATTTGATTAAGCTGCCTACATCACTGTCTTATACGTTAAAATCCAGACCACACTTCTAAAATGACCAAGTCGGTATAGGCTTGGTGCATTCTCCGCCGGTGCTGCCACTGCCCGAGAATATCGTAAATAACGAAACCCATACAAATACATGGGTTTAAATGGCGAGCAAACGAAAAAATTACTATATAATTATATTAAAAGTGTTAGAAAGTATAATGTGTGGAAATTCTAAACAAAAAATAAAAAGGTAAATATTTTGATATCTTCAGAAGGTCTAACTTGCATTATAATTTATTATTCCAGTTAAAATTTTTATTTAGATGAGACAACTATGGTAGCGAGCATAGTTTTATCACCGGTTTTGCTAGTGATGCATAATTGGGGCTATTTTGGCTATAACATTTTTTAAAGGTACATAATTATAATTTTAGATGTTCATAAAACATTTAACACTAGTGGATTAAAAAAGTATACCATTAATATTGCACACAAATTATATTTCATCCTCTCATATTATATGTCTATTTAATTTTTTGATTATGGAACGACCACTTTGTTTACTCACTAGTTTCGTCGAACTGCTTGAATCCATTGTTGCTATTGACTATTGATCAAATCGGTGTAATAAATTATGAAGCTATAAAATGTTGTTTCGGGAGAGTTGAATATCCGGGAAAGTTGAGTTATTGAATGTTATTGCACCCAACAACGCCCTAATTACGCTCGCCTTTACGCGTTAACATTTTTTTGGGCAATTTTATTAACATTTGAAATTGTCACAACACAAGACGCCTAGTTCGATTATTTTTTATTTATTTTTTACTACCCGAAACAGCGTTACATTACACAAACCTCGTACTTGAGTGTTTTTATAGTCTCAATAACTGCACTAGCAAAAAACTAAAATACTTAAATATTACGACAAAACCCCGATTTCAATATTATTTTAATGCGATCGCCATGACGGCGGCGGAGGGGTGAACTATTTATTGATAATTTCTGATTTCTGCCGTAGAGTGCGCTGCGGTTGGAATTTGTTGAAATCTATATAAAATATAGAATAAAATGCACCAAGCCTATAAATCATGTATATGATAATGACTGACGCCAAAATCAAAACTTGAAGTCAGTTTTCCTTCAAGACAGATTTTCTTTCAAGAATTTCAAATCGCTCAAGTAATGAATTAATAATTATGCAGTTGTATTATGTAAATCAAGGACGCGCCACTCGCGCCAGTACAAGCGAGACAAACGATGCCTAAACGATGACGCGTGTGACACTTTCTTAGTTGGTTCGTACCATAGACTTAAAATAAAATATAGACTGAGCATCTCATTCATAAATAGCTGGAACATGCGGTCAGACACTGTCTTGTTATTGTTGTGTTATTGTTTTAGGTTATAACGAGTGCGACACGAGCGATAGATAGGTTGTCTCTGTCGTAACGGTCGTTCCCTGACGACTCTGCCGAGAAACACAACACTGTCTTTCGTTTCTCAAGTACAACTGAACTCTCCGTATCATAGCCGGGTAATTTTTTTTATTTTAATGAAGCTATAATTAAATTAAAAATATATCGTATTTAAACTTTTTTATATTTTATTAAGATTTAGGACAGGTTTTTTAAATAAAAGTTTAGAAAAAACAATTAGAGTCCAAAAAGGATAAAAATAATAAAATACACGTTATAGAAGAAATTTTATAATCGAAATTAGGTAATTTTTGAAATTAATAATAAATTATTAATTTTAGTCAAACATTTACAACCCCTAATATTAATGAAAACAGGATCTATTCCACAGATATAATAGAAACGGCGACAGGGAGAGAAAAAAAATATGATTGTTGCAATTTTTTTTCTGGTTAAGTGATGTCTTATTATGTAAATTAGAGAAAACATAAATCTGTTCCATTAAAGCAAGGAAGGTGATAGGAAGTGGATAAAATAAAAACTACATTTATTTAACTCGGTACTGTCTTTATTATACCGGGGCGTCTCAAAAGTGGCTCATCCCCATAATTTTTTTATATTTTCAAATAAAAAAACAAGATTTAGTATGTTAGTATATGAAATAAATTAGGATTGATTGACGCATTCAATTGTTTTTGGTCACTTCCTGTTTCACCGGAAATGACTATAACTTTTAATTTTTAAACGGCACCCTCGGTATATTTCTACTTTATTCGATAGAAAATGACACTCTGAATAGAATGACATATCATATGTCAACTTTTGACATTTTCGCATATGGTTTAATTGTAATTGTAACACGCGGTTCATAACGACAATTTGACTCAGAAATACCAAGTGTGTGGTATCAATATATTCATAAAAAATGCTTTTCCAAATATGCTAATGAGTCACCCTTGTTCCATTTGAAAAAATTGATATATGTATGATTAAAATACGATTTGTACATCTTTTAACCGGCCTAGACAAGACACGAAACCTATTAGACGATCAAAACTATTTTTCCAAGGCTCCTTGATTAAAACTTAGTGGATTGAAAAAAAACTGGATTGAAATTTAAAATAGGATATGTTTTTAAGCGACAATGTCAAAAGTTGTCATATGATATGTCATTCTATTCAGAGTGTCATTTTTTATCGAATAAAGTAGCAATATACCGAGGGTGCCTTTAAAAATCAAAAGATGTAATCATTTCGGTGAAACAGGAAGAGACCAAAAACAATTGAATACGTCAATAAATCCTAATTTATGTCATATACCTACTAACATACAAATCTGTTTTTTTATCTGAAAAAATAAAAAAAAGTTATAGGGTTGAGCCACTTTTGAGACGACCCGGTATATTAAAAAATATTGTTTCATAATGTAATATCATTTTAAAATTCTTGTACGTTATTTTAGATTCTGAAGATAATTTTAGAATAAACCGGAATATATTTTTAATAAAAACATTATTAATTATTAACAGGGTTATAATTATGATTTTGTTACAATGTAAGTAAGTAAATAATGTAATGGTAAAAAGAAAAATTCAGATTTTACATTTTACTAAAATATTATCTAAATAAGTGCCTTTCTACAACAACGCCACTGACTGCCAATGGGTAAATTGAGAGTTGCCTACCGGTCAAAAGTCGTTTCAAGACTTAAATGGATTATTTAAGTCAAATTTCTTGCAAATTTGGCACTGGCGAACCATATTTTATAGTTTTTGAACAGAAAAAGTCAATAAAATAAACACTTAAGGACTACAAGCTAAGAAAATGCGTTAATACAGCCGGGGAGATAGCAGCAACAAAGCTTTACCGCATACGTGCGACACGTACTACAAGGTAATAAATAAATGAATAGGCTCCCTCGCCTCTAATCGGTGTTGTCATATTGTAAAGAACTTATCCTTATTAAACAGTATCCGACTTATAATTTAGTAGTATAAGGACTATTTAATACATCTATGGAATATTAAAACCTACTTTATTAAACTGTAGTATTAATATCTCAATATATGTGTATAACAAGAAAAAAAAATATTGATAATATTAAAGACGTGACAACATAGGCTGGATGAGGAAGGCTCGGTCGACTGTACCCAGAAGTAAACATGTGTACAAAAAAGGTTGTTTGTCCGCGTTGAGATGTAAATAGTGTAGTCTATATTTTATTTTAAGTCTATGGTTCGTACCCTAGATCATATTACTTACGTGTGGATACATCAACGCCATAAGTTTAGCATTAAAAAATATGTCCCCGGCATCACGACATGCCATTTTCAAATCCTCTTTATTGCACTTATGGAACGTTTAGACTAAGAGCTAGCAACGTTTTCGAGAAAGTATTTTAAGACGTCTGGCTCTTTGATATATCTTTTACTATGCTCTTTGGAACAGCATGCGGCCCCTCTGGCTGCTGATACCCGTTGCTGCCACTACTGCGCATCGGAAGAAGATCCTATATTTTTTTAAATTTAGTCCTATAAATTCTAGTATTGAATATAAATCGAACATGTCTCCACAGCGCAGTGCGTAGAGTTTCCGACCACAAATCGATGATTCAGAGTCGAATCCGGGTCGGGGCAAAGACTTTTTTATTTTGTTTTCGTTTATATTCTGATAGTGAAGTATTAAATAATTCTGGTAATTGAAAAAAAAAACAAATATTTAATACTTTACTATCAAACTATAAACGAAAATAAAATAAAAAAGTCTTTGCCCTGACCCAGATTCGAACTCTGAATCCTCGGTTCGTGGTCGGAAACTCTACGCACTGCGCTATGGAGACATGTTCGATTTATATTCAATTCCAGAATTTAAAGGACTAATAAAAATATAGGATCTTCTTTCAATGCGCAGTAGGGAACGCAACGTTTACAGGCAGCCAGACGAGCCGCATGCTGTTCTAGAGAGCATAGTAAAAGATATACCAAAGAGCCAGACGTCTTAAAATACTTATTTTTCCGACGTTGCTAGCTCTCGTACTACTAGCTAGGGTTCGTACTCTACATTATTTTGTAAATTACCACACGGTTGTAATAACTGTCATAATATAGTAAAATTTTCTACTTATACCGAGTTTTCAAGTTTTCCATCCTTGTCGTGAACTGAAATGTGTTTCCTCAATCCTCTACCATCGTAGAACGCTTTCCCGCAGACTTTACAAACGTGGTTCTTTTCGCCCGTATGGATTTTCGTATGAGCTTGCATGTTGGCTTTCTGAGCGAACGATTTTCCACAGAAAACGCAGGCGAAAGGTTTTTCTCCGGTATGGACGCGCACGTGATTGTCTAAATGCCGCTTATTCACACATATGTGAAGACACTCTTTGCACTGATATTTTGTATCACCTAAAAAAATATAATTAAAATAAAATTGGCTGCAAAAATTTACTGATAACTTTATAAGTATTTAAAATATATTTAATCAACATCAGCACATTTAAACTATTTATATCTAATAACAAGAAAAATAAATAGCAAACCAAGACATGAGATTTTGCTACAGGTGTTCGACATATCGACCGTCTTCTGTTATGGACAGACGGGGCAGTTTTTGAACATTTCTCACGGAATTCAGTAATTCAGTGGGAGTGAAAGATACCCTCTCATAACTGCTAATTATTTCTAATTCTTGTCTAGATTATACGGAAGAATAAGGAACCTTTATTTTTCCGCAAATATATCGATAGGATTAGATCCATGGACACTAAGTCAGGCGGCCTCGACGGCCAACGGCTGGAATCTTGGTTGGCTATTCAATTATTCTTGAAATTGGATGCAAAAATTTGCTGATAACTTCAGCGATCAGAGGCGGTGCGTCGTCTTGCTGAAAAAATATGTTTTCGAGTTCCATTAAGGGCATATCATCAATAAGGGGTCCAAAGCCTACTAGTTAAAAGTGGCGAACTTTTAAAAATTCTGTATTTCGAAGGGGATTATAACATAATATCAAGTGTGCTATATTTTTGGAAAGGTAATTTTAAATTCTTTTCAGTTAATTAAAAATATAGAGGGTGTCCCAAATAAAAAATCAATTTTTCTGTTGATAACTCTTAAATTATTAATTTTAAAAAAATTATACTTAAACCATTAAATTCTACGTAAAAAGGTGCTTTGGAAATGTTTTCATAGAAATACAAAATTTTCCATAGCAAAAAAGTTACAGTGATTTGTTAAAATTGCACATTTTTGAAAAACACCCCGTAACTCCGAAACGGTAACAGATATTGATGTGCGGTTTTCACCATCATGTTTTTGATGAAAATTCAGCTCCAGACGCCGATATTAGTTTTCGTCTATCTCCTATAGAAAAGGGTGTTTCCATTTAAAAGCGTCGAATTTGACCCACCCTGTACAGTTGGCTATATTTAGGTATCTGCAAGTTCGAGCGGTTTAGAATGCCTAAATTTGGAAAAAAGTTGAAAATTATTTTTTCTGATCTCAAAAACTAAGCAAGATACGTAAAAAATGCAACAGACATTGAAGGTCTTTTTTGCAATATTTTTGCTCTGTTTCCATTTTTCTGTAGATATTACTTGATATTACGTTTTTTCAGTCTGACTTGCGTGTAAGGACCACCTTCTTTGAGCGCTTAAAACCCAAAAATCTCGTAAAAATGAAGAGTTCAACACTGTTCAACTATAGAGGTTAATTTGTAGCTCGTGTAATTTCCTACAAATTCATAGTTTTTATTTTTATGATTTTATTCATAAATTTTGTTGTTAATTTTTTTCGGAAAAAATGAGGTGACATTATTTTAGGCAATATTATTTTTCTCATAACACCGCGAGTTTTTGAGCTACGAATTTCTTTTAAAAATAATTTAAAAGGTATTTTCAAGCACTTCAAAAACTTCATATTCATTTTTTTCGAAAATTATATTTATTTATTAAATTATTTACTATTTATATATTATATCTTGCATAAATTTATTATAATTATTATTTACAATCTAAAATACAAAGAGAAATTTTTACCTGTATGTACTCTCTTATGTTGATACAAAGTACCTTTGCACGAAAATTGTTTTCCACAGGTGTCACAGTCATATCTATTTTTACCATAATGGGACTGAATATGAACTTCCAAGCCAAGTTTTTGTTTATATTCTTTGTTACATATATTACATGAATATTTATTTTCTTAAATTATCAAAATTTAAAACAAAAATATATATTATGTATATTAAAACAATTATACCTTGATGAGAAAATCGAATATGATCTTGTAACCTGTTTTTACTAACGTAAAGCTTCCCGCATATATCACAACTAAAGTTCCTCGGCCCGTGTAGAAGTATGTGTGATTTTAAAGTATGTTCTGTTAATAACACCTTTTCACACAGATGACATTGGAATAATCTATCTTTTGACATTGGGTCTTTAACACATCCTGGAGGCCCTTTATGGGTCTTTTCATGATACGATAATGTGGAATACGAATGAAAGCCTTTTCCACAAAATAAGCATATTAATTGTTCCCCCGTATGTTTTCTTTCGTGGTCTGTTAAATACTGCCTTCGTGTAAAACCTTTACTACAAAATCTACAATTGTACGGTTTCACTTCCATATGCATGATCATGTGCCTTTTTAAATCAGTCTTAAAATTGAAGGCTTTGCCACAAGTAGAACATATATTCGGTTTCTCTCCTGTATGGGTTCTGATGTGTTCTAGATATTTAGAATACGCATCGTGTTTCCGTTGACAATATGGACAAATGAACTTTAATGCTTTTTTATGCTTGGTCTCGATTTTATGAATTCTCAGTTCCTCGTAGTTTTGAAAGGAGGAATCGCATGTAATGCATGTATATGGGGGACCTAGTAACAAATGAAACTTGCAGTATTTTATAAACAGTAAATAAAATTGTATTTTACCAAAAATTGAACTTCAACACACCTTTTCGAAAAACATACGATCTCTTATTACTCTTTACTAAATTGCTATAAGTAATGAGTTGTGCTTTTGCTCTTTTCCTTAACTTAACTTTGTTCTCTACGTCGACATGTTTGATTGCTTTTTTAGTTTTTGTCGGTCCAGATGAATCAATGGTATTTCTATTTTTCTCACTGACATCACACAGATCACTTTTCAATTCTTCAGGATCATTAAAATCAGATAGATTATCATTGTGTACTGAGTACTTATCATCAATATCATTATCTGATGTTAACACACCAGTTTTATCATATGTATTTTCACCAATCCCCATTTCAGAAGCTTTTATATCCAATATTTCTTTATTTGGTTCATTTTGTATTTCTTGTTGAATAATTTCTTGTAAAGTGTTCTCTGACTTCTTACATTTGAATAAAAAGTGATATGTTGTGTACATATGTTGAATACAACATTTACACATGTTTTTTGGCAGCATATCATTTTCTTTCAGCTAAAATAGGATCATATGCAATAAAAATTATATGTATTTTAAGTACCTACTTGGTGGAAATATAGCACTACATAATACTTAAAAATAAAAAAAATGACAAAAATCGAGACAGTATTAGATCAAATAATTCAGGTACCTGCAGAGGGGTCCAATTTTCAATTACTTCTTTAAGATTAAGGCCTTCCCAGTTAACGTCGTCAATTAAATACAGTTCACTGTGAATTAAGCATGTTCGGCATATAGTTGGGAATGAAGTTACTGGTAACATTTCGTATTTTGCTTCCTCTGGAGTCAATTTAATATTTAATAATAAATAAAACTTTTACTTAATTTTAATTTTTGTGTTTTTATTTAACCTAAAACTGTCACTGTCACCCATATACAATGTCAAACCAATTTTTCTTCTCTTCTGTTTGGAGAGTTTTAGCTACCGTACCGATGACACCTAGAAGACATTTGGTACCAAAGCCACCCAATCTCGGTAGCCCTATATCTCTGGGAAAACCTAATCTCCTTTTTTAGATTCAGGGCATTAGTTACATATGCTACATATGCATATAATCATAGGGAAAATAAAAGAGATTAGAGGTGGGCCAGTCTGCGATTTTTGTGGAGCTGCTACGCTCTGCGACTGCTCCAATAAAAGCACTGTGACAAGTAGCAGCGATTTTTCGGAGCAATTAACCTATAAATTAAAAATGTAGTTTTATAGGTTAATTGCTCCGAAAAATCGCACTCGGTGTTCGGCACCGTTCGTTGCATTACTAAAAAAGTACAGGACTATAGGTGTGATTATGATAGGCAACATCATCGTCTAGTTTTTATTTATTTATATCGTATGATCGAAAAAAACGGCGTCAGCGATAGCTATGAAATGAAGATTGCTGGCATTTTATATGTAAAATTTATGGGGAATGTTATCGATTGTCATTTCCAAGCCAACTGGACGCCGTTTTTTATTTCGATCAGTAGTGGCGATTTTAACGTCTGTGCAATCGGGGTAAGTCACCGACGGGCCCCAAGCCTCCCGGGCCCTTGCGAACAAGATTCGAACTTTTCCGAACTACGGGCCCCTAGAGCTCTTAAAATCGCGGCTGTACGGTACTATACTGATGTCTTAGTTTGATAGATGTTGCTATATTTTTTTAGTCTATTCAGAAGAATTTGAGTGTTTCTAAGTACCAAGCACTTTGCTATAAATATCTTAAAGAGTCTGTTCATTTTCACAGAGTGGTGGCCCATGGTAAAAACTTAATGTTATATTCAATTCAAAGTCGAAACTGTCAAAAAAATCTTTATTAGTGACCGGTTTCGGCTATTTAGCCATCATCAGACCTTAAAAATAGATATAAATAATAAAACTTATATGAATGTATAAGATCAAATAAAAGATTTAGGATATACAACAAAACACAGATACAAAATTAACTAACAAATAAACATACTAACAAGTTAAAAATTACCTTTGTCAAAAACATCTGTTTGTGATTAATATATAATACATAAATATCTTATTTAGATTCATGAAAGAAAAAGCGAACGCTGCTACGTTTCCCGTTCCCAAACTCCCAACAGCTCCAGTACACAGAATATACTCAATATACTATGCTCCAGTCGACTGCGACCTGCGACGACTGTGACTGGACAGTCTGACCGGGCGACAGGGCTAGGAGCATTTTCAGAATTTACACTATTGCCTGCTATTGCTCCTATTGCTACTCACGAGCGCAGATGTCCTAAACTTGTAAACTGCTCCGAAATGTCACTGCGATTTTCTTGGAACTGGAGCAGTCACATACTGCGACGTTGGTGGAGCTGTGACAAAGTAGCGGACTGCGATTTCACAACCCACCTCTAAAAGAGATATAACAGGACCGTATTAATATTTAATTCAAATATTTATTGTTAATAAATAAAGGCTATAGTTAATCCAAGAGTCGGGGAAGATTTCGCAAGACGATATCTAAAAAATAACAGAAAATACAACATTTTATTTGTGAATTAAATTGACAGATTAAAAATGAGAAAAAAATGTAAATTTTAATTATTGGGTGTATGTATGTGACAAATTTTAACACCTTGAAGATCAAACAGGGAGCACTTTAGACGACCCTATGTTTATATGAGCTTTTTTTCTTAAAAATACGTATTTTTTTTAGACTATATGTGGAAAACATCTTGTTTACACATAGTGCTCGAAGCTTTCATCGAACAAATTTTGTATCGAAGAGGCAACAAATTCTTCTTTACTCTTGTGTTGTTTTGGGGGTTGGAAATTGTTAAAAATCTACAAAAACATAATTAATAGGACACAGAATCTTGTTAAATGTGTTTTTTTCATTGATTTTAAGGGAAAATTAGTGAAAAAAAAGTAAATACTTATCTTGTAGGAGTTATATATTCTTGTTTTGGAGAAATTGACAAAAACTACAAATACATAATTTGTACAGCACAGAATCATGTTAAATGAAGTTTTTTATTGATTTCATAGCAAAATAGGTGAAATAAAAGCAAAAAAGCTTGGCCACTACATTGACTAAGAAAATGTCTTGTAGAAGTTATAAATAGGGGTATAACTGCCTTGTTTTATAATTTATAGATGTAATAAGTCTCTATTTAACTAAATATTACATTATTTCGGAAAATATCGAACAACAAAGTTATATTAATTGAAGAATCTGAAGGCTACCGAACCGCCACCATATTTTTGAATTTTATTTTAATTTATATGGGTTTAATAGATCTGAAACTGCTTAGTTAACTATATTTAATGATAATATATAATTCCTTAACTATTTTAAAGCTTTAAAATCGTTTTTAAGGCAAAAAATCTATTTTTTATGATATTAACAATTAGGGACATTAGAGTAATTAAAATGCGATATCTATGTGAATTTGGCTTTATTCGTTTATTGTTTGATGTCATTTTATTCAGAAAACACGTAGCTACATTTCCCTGGTAGTAGTTTTGTCTCCAATGTAGCGTTATATTGCTAAATTTTCATTTAAACTTGAAATTTAGGTCATAAAATTACATAGTTTTTCATCGGTAAAACAGAAGAAAAGCGCGATTTGGCGCTCGCTCTAGCGTCAAAAATCAGAAACCGAGCGCCAAAACTCAATATCATTGGTCGTTTCGGTCGATTTACGTCATTTCTAGACGGACCGTTGACGATGTAAGATCTTTGTCGGTTGGCTCTCCAGAATTTTTAAGGAAAGTGCCTTTTTCCTGTATATTGTGCTCGGAAATCATGTGTAGTGCAGAGCTGGACTCTTGGAAAGGGTAAGTTCGACCATTTTCCTTCGAATTTCCCGAAATTTTTCGAAAAATCCGACCATCTGAAGGCGCCCGGTAGAAGCGCAAGACCAACAAAAAAAGTCAAAGCCACCTTTATTTTGTTAAACTTTCCGTGTCTTTCTGTTTGCTTTTTTATACTTTCTGTTGCTATAAATAGTTCTTTTTTATGGTTGACTGTATCAAAATAAATCATTTTCAGACTTAAATAGTTTGATGAGTATAGTATTTTAGAAATAAAAACCTTAAATGAGTGAATAAATTATAGTCAATCAGTTTTCTGAAGAATATTTCTAATAGTAGTGCACTTGATATGGTTTTTCTTAAAGATATTATATAACAGAAGAATACTTATGTAATAAATCTTTTATAAAATAATCTAAATAGAGTTTAGGAACCTCAGAAATTACATCTGCCTATATTTATACTAAATAACATTTAGAAACTTAATATAAACAAGGATATAAGGTAATAATTAGTACTTAGGCCTAGAACCGAATCGCGATCATGGACGTTGTTTACAAATATGCTTGCCGGACCCTGTATAGTATAGAATTAGATAATCTATTTGAAATTCTGTATATAGAAAATTATTAACATATGAACTATGTAAATAAAAGATATTTTGTCTTGTTTCAGATTATGTCAGAAATTATCCAGGGTTACGGATATCCAAGGACCACGCTGCCAGTGAAGAAGGAGATGACGAATATCAACACATCAACACAGATCTTCAAGTTGCAAAGAAACCAGGCTGCCTTTGGATGGAATGGACCAAGGATCGGTATGGGTCTGGACACGTCATATAGCGCAGGTCGTACCTGAGCTCGGGCGCTGTATCCAGACGTGCTGCACTGCGGGAGTGAATGTGCGCCTTTACACATTTTGCTCGGTACAATCGCGGGTAGGGCCCAGCTGGACTCGAGAGATGGTAAGTACGACCATTTTCCTATGAATTTCCTGATATTTTTCGACAAATCGGACGTTCTTAAAGCGGCTGGCTTGAAAGCAATTCTATTGGCTGAATGTAACGTCATTTCTTTTCCGATTGGTCGAAATTTTATCGGGCAGTGTATAAAAGTTTTGCCTTTTTTATAATTTCTGCTTGCTATAAAAAGATGTAATTTGTTGTGGATTGACAGTTTCCTAAATTTATTTATTTTATGGTTGTCCAGGATATCTATGTATTAAAATAAATAATTTTTAGACTTAGATACCTTTTCTAAGTCTGAGATATATTTTAGAAATAAAAGCTTAATTAATTTTAGAAATAAGTGAATATATAATAATCACTGAATTTTATGAAGAATATTTTATAGTGGTGCATTTGATATGGTTTTTCTTAAAGATATTATATAATAGGGGAATACTTATGTATTACATATCTTTTATAAAATAATCTAAATAAAGTTTAGAAAGCTGTAAAACACATAATTGCATCTGCCTGTAACTGCTTTAATTAGTAAAATATTTAATGAAGAATAACTAGTGAAATTTATATTGATAATCAGCTGATTTTTTTCTTGAAACTGATCTAAACCCTAAAAATTAAAATACTGGTTCCTTGTTTTGTAAGTTTGTGAAATATTTCTCTATAGTCTATGTTATTAATTGTGCACTGATTATTTTTTTCTAAATATATTTGTATTCATTTTATAAAAGCACTGGTTAGATGTTTTTTTACAAAAGATGCATTTAAACAAAATAACATTTAGAAAATTAATATAGGTAGGTAGTTTATTGTTATTAATAGTTTTTCGGAAGCTAGTAAATTTTGCTTGCTAAATTATTGATTTTATTTATTTCCTAGAGACTATAATATGTGCTTGGGGTTGATAAACTATTATATCTATTTGTTGCTTCTGCCAAGATTTTCAAATAGTTTACTGATATTTTATTAACTTTTCACACACTATACTAATCTCTACAGAAATATGTATATATTTTTATTTTTTTGTTAATATTTGCGAAGAAATTTTTAAGGAATGTTAACAGGTGTTTTTTTTTTAACAATGGTACTTTATTGTAATATTTTATTTATACTCTGTTATACTCTGTCTCTATGACTTTTATCTGTTTTATCTATCTATATTTATTTTTTAAATACTTTTTTATTAAATAGCTATTGAAATTTCTTGGTAAATTTTTTTTTAGTAGGTACCTATAGATATATAGGGTGAACTAAAATTACAATATTATTCACCTACTCTTTCAAAAACAGACACACTAAGATTTTCATATGTTTAATGATATTTTACTGTTTCTTCGTCCATTACTAATTTCTACAGAAATATATTTTATATATTTTTGTTTTCTTTTTTGGACATTTGGTATAGAAATTTTTAAGAGAAAAAATTAGTTGTTTTCAATGATATAATTTCATTAGATTTTCCTAAAATAATGCTACTTTCCAGGCTACTTTATTGTAATTTTATTTTTATTATTCTATTTCTTAATGACATCTACATAATAATAGGTATATTTTTTAAATAATTTTTTATTAAATAGTTATTTAAATTTCTTGGTAACAATTTTTCTGAGCATTCATAGAGGATCATAGGTATACAGGGTGAACCAAAATCACAACAGATATTATTCACTCCCTTTTTCAAAAACAGATCACACAAAGATTTTGAAATATTTTACTGGTGTTTTATTAATTTTTCGTATTCACTACTAATCTCTGCAGAAATATGTGGATATGTATTATTTTTTTTATAATATTTGTATATACATTTTTAAGAAAAAATATTAGCTGATTTCATTGATATAATTTCATAGGATTTTTTTAAAATAGTGCTACTTTATTGTAATTTTAAATTTTTTATACTTCTTTCTTTTTGGCTTACTTATATTTATTTTTGAAATTATTTATATAAATTTTGTCTCAACCAAAATTGCAATATTATTTACCTACTTTTTCAAAAACAGCTCACACTATAAAAAGTTAATTTTTTTATAGTCAAATCACATTAGAATATAGTTAAATACAATTTTTTTTTAAATTGAGAATAATTATTTGGTTGTATACAGTATACAGGGGGTTCACGCAGCCACTTAACTTATAATATTTTACTATATTTTTTTTCTACAACCAATTTGTAAATAAATATTTTTCTAATGATATATCAGTCAATTTGGAAACTTTTTTCTCTATAAACATTTTTTCTCTGTCACATAGAGCAGTTAAAAGTTAATAAGACCTACACTCTTTAACGCCCTGTATAACTGAGGTGTTTTATTTTATTGAAGCGCGAATATTGGCATACCCTGTATATTTATTTTAAATTTTTAGTTTTACATATATTTTTTATTTTAACTTTCAATAACTACAGTGGTTGATTATTATTCAAGATTACATATTATTAAAAGCCAGAGGGTTGTTTGGGGTCTTTTTGTAAGTTTTTTTTCTTTTTTCAGATCGCAATCGAATGGGGACACACAATTGTAATTACCAAACTACACTTACTTTACCCATGCAGACGGCTCATGGAATGCTATCACGTGAAAATCCATCAACGCTCCCAGCTAGTAAGCGTGCGGTTTAATGTCTCTACTATCAGGCTCTAAAGACATGACCGCTGAGTTCGTGTTAGATTAATCCGTCGTTTTACATAGTCTGGGTTCAATATCACAAGTGTCACTCTTTTTCTCTAAAGCAAATAAAACTCTATAAGAAATGTTTATAGACTTTTATCCATGAAAACAGAGATTTTCATCTCTATATATTTGAAAGTATAATTAAATTAAATAAATGTCACTTTAACAGAATCTTCCACATGAAGTATCTACTAAATGCCAGTACTTTTTAGTGCTAGTATTTTAATATAATAAATACGAGTACTTCTTAGTGCTCGTATTTTTCTAAAATCGATAGACACAAAAAAGCAGCGTTGCGGGGTGGTTGCGATGCAATCTGTGGGCTGTGGGGACTGTCGCGAGGGGCCAGTCTCGGAGGCCTGGGACTGTTTCGCCCTGGATTCGTTCGCATATTATTACAGCCCCGGTAACAGGCCGGGGTTCCCAGGTGCTCGTTGCGTTGTAGCTGCTAGTGGGTATGTTATTCGACCGCTCCATTACCGGGCGTAAGCTTATATCATGCTATGCAGGCTATCCCATGGGGCCGGGTTGTTGTCCTAAACGTAAAGGGTGTCTGGGGAGTGGGGCTCAGCTCAATTAGAGGACTAGGAGGCTTGCAAAGGGGCGCAGTGGGTTGGGATCATCTGGCACTCTTGGACCGGAAAGGGCAGGTAAACGCTGGTCCTTGAGTGTGGGGAATCTGGCAGAAGACGTTACGTTAAATTGTCCGATCGGAACGTCATAAAACTATGTGGTTATTCTCAGCCTCCGATGTCGCCTTGCTAATTAACCACCAATATAAAGCTTTTACTAGTGAAAGTCTTTATATTTTTCCTTCTCCTCTTCAAACTGAAAAACGCAGGCATATAAACTTGTTTTCCGGGTTGCCTCGTTACTCGAAAAATATCAAACCGTTGTCGAATGGTTTTTCTCGACGACACCGTCAAATTCTTAATCTGATTCTTTTTGAGGTGGGTCGCCCTGTAGCCCGGTGATTTTTGGTCTGGCCAGGGTTCCAAGGAACAAATGTCCTCAGGAATGGAGGATCAAGCTGGTATCGGAGGGTCGAGGCTTGGCCAAGATTCCGTAAAGGTTCGAATTGACTGGAACATCACCCGCCGTGCCTTTGGGTCTCTCCGGTGTTTTGGTCTGTCCATTTAAACGGTTTATGCAGGTTCTATTTCTTGGAGTTATGACCGTTAAAACCTATTTTTTCTAAAACTTTAACGGCATATGTGCCAGGAAATCGGATCTTCAATAAACCACTCATTTTGCTAAGTATTATTGTAACAAAAATTCGTGTTTTTTATTTTTATCAAGTCTCGGTAGTGCTGAATGGAGAGTGCTAAGGTAATGGAGGTACACATCTTTTCTTATTTTACTGTTTAGTGCTAGTCTGGTCTCTAACGTTGAATCGAGGGTGCTAAGGCAATGGAGATTTCAAGTCTTTCGTTGTTCTAGTGTTTTCTTTTTAACGTTGTTTGGGATTAGGTTCGCACTAAAAATTTTGAAGAATATAATTTTTACTTTTTGTAATTTTAAACTAAATTTAATCACCCTATTCTAGTCTCTGTAATGTTGAATCGAGAGTGCTAAGGCAGTGGAGATTCCAAGTCTTCCATTGTTCTAGTGTTTTCTTTTTAGCGTTATTTGGGATTAGATTCTCTCTCATAAAAATTGAGTTCACAGCCTTTCTTGTTTTAGCGTTTCCTGTTTAGTGTTATTTGAGACTATATTCTTTCTACAAATTTAAAATATGCTATCTAGTCTCAGTGATGTTGGATCGAGGTTGCTACGGCAATGGAGGTTTACAACCTTCCTTGTTTTAGGTCTTCTTTCTGGCGTTAATGGGATTATAATAGATTCTCTCTCTTAAAAACTAAAATAAAAAACATAATTTTTGTTTAAAATAATCTTTTTTACATGGTCTCTTGTGAATGGATGATACAATTACGATCGAAGAGTAACAGCCTTCTTGTTTTAGTATTCCCATTCACGTATAAATTAAGTAAATTCATTCTGATTTAAACTGTTTTATTCTCTAAATTTTTCAAATCAAACTTATAATAATTTTTATTTAGTTTACTGGTCTTTGAGATGAATGAATTGATAATGCTAAAGTAGTGCCGGTTCCAGTCTGGCGTTATTTTAGGGTTTTCTTTTCACTGTTGTAAGAGATTGGAATAAGGGACCATTTCTTTTTTAAATTTTGCTCTGCCCCATCAAATTTTTCTCTGCTCTATCGCTGTATCTAAACTATATTTTTGAGCACAACTCTCTATCTTATCTAAACTAATTTTTCTAATAATCTCATGTCAAAGCGGTAGAGCTCTTTCAAAATATAAAATTTACCCTGGATGGATAGCCAACACTGAGGGGGAGGGACATACTTCTTGACGTCTAATCGGAATGATGGGATGGGCCGTAGTCCAGCATATTCAGCCTAGTGTTAGTGATAGTGAGGTAAGTCTGAACACACACCTGTCTAGTTCTTTTCCATAAATCTAATTCAGAAATATTTCTATCTTTCTAGAACTATGATCGTGTACGCAGCGCGTGTTATTTGTGAATTTAGTCGGTCTGTGTTTTTAGATGTCCTGCTGCTAAAAAGTAATTCCAGGTTCTGTCGATCCTGATGACGCGTTAAATGGGATTCCCCAGGGACCGTCCGTAGTTCCCGAGGGACCAGGGGCGTCCTTCTGCTCCCGCGGTGTGACGACACTGCTTTTTACGCCGTGTGGCAGGAATCGCCAGTGAAAGAATGTGGAATGGAGGTGAGTTGAATTTATTTGGACTTTCTAGACTTGGGCATCTTTACTGATCTTTTTTTTTATCGTTGTTTCAGTACCTATGCAGATGAAGAGGAAATTTAGAAGGACCATTTCTAAAGCATAATTATAACGGTCGCGTCGGTTCGTGGTTCTGGGACTGTTCTAAGGCTTTTCACAGCATTTTAAGGTGACAAAATTTTTTTTTGCGTTCATACTTTCTTTGATTCGAATCATATATAATCCTTTGTATCTCTTGTCGTTTGTAAAAATCACAAGAAATAATATCTTTAATTTTTTCGAGGTGTCTATTTCTCAAAATAATTTAAACCCAATTTAACTTTTACTCTGTTATGTTTAATTTAATATTGAAAAACATTTTTTTGCTTAAAGTTTAATGAAATGTGTGCCAGGAAATCGAATCTTCAATTAACTATTTTCTTTTTTTCAAGTATTTTTATAACAAAAATTACTCTTTTTTATATTTTTATCTATAGTCTCGGTAGTGTTGAATGGGGAGTGCCAAGGTAATTTAGGTTCACAGCCTTTCTTATTTTGGTGTTTTCTGTTTAGTGTTATTTGGGATTAGATTCTTCCTAAAAATCCTAAAGGATATCATTTTTATTTTCTGTAATTTTAAACTAAATTTAATAACTCTACTATTCTAGTCTCTGTAATGTTGAATCGAGAGTGCTAAGGCAATGGAGATTCCAAGTCTTCCATTGTTTTAGTGTTCTCGTTTTAGCGTTAATTGGGATTAGGTTCTTTTCAAAAAATTCTAGAGGACATAATTTTTATTTTCTGTAATTTTGAACTAAATTCCAAACAATAATCACTCTATTCCAGTCTCTGTAACAGTTTTCTGTAGGGCATTGTCATAGGATTAAATATAACTTTTTCTATCATCATTTTACTATTTTTTAATTATTCTCTAATTGCATTTACATTTAAAAAAAGGTGTGAAGGTATCATGTTTCTTAATAAACTTGTACGTTTATACTAAAACCATTCAAAATATTTTTAATTTTGTTCATTTTTAATATAATAAAACTTAAATTTGATAATTTTAAAATAATGCATTTTGTACATTATTAATTGTATTTTCGAGTAAAGTAAATTCTCGTTGAAATTAACATTAACTCATATTTTTCTCATTTATTATTATTCAATCTCTATAGTTCTCTGTACAGATTTATCGCGTTAAAGACACCTTAAATCTTTCTTGTTACCTATAGTAGTAAATCTATAATTTTTGTGGCCTTGAGATGTCCGATGTGCAAGGTCTCAGTCGTAGTACCTTCTTCACTAACTGTTGCCTTAAGGTACTCTTGTCCTTAAGGCTGTTTCTGAGGAGGCACGACGATTGGTGCAGGTCTGGAACGAAGATTTTCTGGAAAAGGACAGTAGGATGGAGAGCATGGAATGAGATAAAATCAGGTATGTTATAAGATTTATTTCTTTTTTTATTATTTTCAACTAACGTATTTTTTCTGTTGTTTCAGGTTAGTGAGCGTATATTTTTTGTACATGGAATGCAAATCGTGGGGAGCGCTCTGCAAAAAACGTAAGTTTTTTTTAAATTTTTTCCTGGTTTATTTGGTTGTTCGATTATTTTCCCGGAGATGGCGTGAGCGCGGTCCTGCAGGAGCTAAAGTCACCTGTGGGGCCCCTCATAGAAGCGAAGCAGAGTGTGGAGTCGACCTCTACCGGGGCTAAAGTCCCCCGTATGAGCGTCCTCACAGAAGCACGTTGGGTTGAGATCCGCAGGGGCTAACGTCCTCTGTGGAGGCTCCTCACAGAAGCAAAGAACATGCTTTCCTCTCGAAAGCAGCAGAGGTCCATTGGGTTGTTATGTCTATCGGTCTTTTTATTGGGTTGTTATGTCTATCGTTTTTTCTTAAGGATGTATTTGATGTTCTTATAGCTCTGTTCATATTTTCTAAGTTAAATTAAAATCTACAAAAACCTCTAACTGTAGGGTGTAGGTAATTTTTTTAACTTCTTAATTTTTTAACTCACTTTTATTTAATTATTACTATTTTAGAGTAAACGCATGTCAATTTTCGATGACTAAATGTTTAATACAAATAGTCTACATTTTCTAAATTTATTTTATATTTTCAATTCAAGTTCAAATATAATTCTAGGCCCCAGAAAAGAGGAACCAAGTTTTTTAAGTTGTGTAGTAGAGATTTTTATGACTTTCTAGGTCACTATTAATATTAGTATTTTCTGTAATTTTAAACTAAATTTAATAGAATAATCATCCTATTCTAGCCTCTGTAATGTTGAATCGAAGATGCTAAGATAATGAGGATTCCAAGGTTCTTTTATTGTTTTAGTGTTTTCTTTTTAAC